AGTGTGGCAAAGGTTACAGCCAGGCCAGCGGACTCACAGTGCATCTGCACACCTTCCACAGTGAGAACACACACTCTCACGCACTGAGCAAAACACTGCAGTAAATATAAATGAATGATCATCTTTGATAGTTTCCTTAGAGAGAACGAGAACGAACTCTCTGAGTGTTTAGATCAGGGGGTGTCAAACCAAATGTAATCGCGGGCCACATTCTAATTATGGTTGCACTCAAAGGGCCGGTGGTAACTTTAAGACTATATAAATATACATAGATAAATATACATAATAAATATAAATAATGTATAATTTTTAGGGCTGTCAAGTTAACGCGTTAATAACGCATTAACGCAAAAAAAAATTAAAGCCACTAATTATTTTAACGCGATTAACGCATGTGTATTTTTTTTCCTCGGCCGCCCCGTAGTTTCAGAGCGCATCGAGTTTAAAATACCGTCTACAAGCTGATGCTGACAGCCCCGCTCCTGCCGCCCGCTTGTGGCAGACCACACTTCCACGCTCACCGGCAGGCACCGACTGGCTGTTGGGAGGACCGGGAGGGTGTGTGTATGTGTGGCCCGAGCGAGCGAGAGACCATACGCGCATTGTTGTTGTTAGCATCAGGTGCTAGCTAGCTGCGCTAACAGATATAAGGAGCTGCTTAAATGAAAACAGAGGAGCGACATTTCGCCGACAACTGCGCCGAGCACTTGACTTTATGCAGGAAGCCAGACAGTGGGACATTGTACGAGAAGTCAGCACACTCAGCACGGATAGTGCGCAACATGATTGCAGCGTCCAGGCAGCTCCCGTTCGAGCATATGCCTTGAGTTGCACACACACACACACACACACACACACACACACACACACACACACACACACACACACACACACACACACAATGATAATAAACATTAGCATAAAGCATATTTGTCCACTCATATGTTGATAAGACTATTAAAAACTTGAAAAATATTCCTCTAAGGTCAATTTAAAACAGATAAAAAATGTGCGATTAATTTGCGATTAACTATTTTAATCGACTGACAGCCCTAATCATTTTACAATATTTCCTCTGCATTGGATTATTATCGGATAGGGTAATAACTTCATAATTAACTACGTCTGAAAGCAGAAGTCTAGGGCAAATCATTGCAAGTCTCTTCATTGCGCATGTCACAAAATGAGATGCATTGTGGGACATGTAGTTTATGGGAAACGTTCTCCTGTAAAGCGGCACGTAACATTATAATAAACTTATTATATTCTTTGCAAGCTCTTGTGGGGCCACATACAATGAAGTGGGGGGCCGGATTTGGCCCCCGGGCCTTGAGTTTGACACCCCTGGTTTAGATAGTTAACTTTAGTCTAAGTTATCTCGGTGGGTCTCAAACGGTTTGGTCACAAATTATTCAAAAGATTATCTCCACGGCACACTTTCATATGATCATTATAGTTGAAAAAATAAGAGAATAAAGGAAAACAGTTATGAAATCTACTACAGTTGCAAGAATGTGAACCCTTTGGAATGACCTGGATTTCTGCATAAGTTGGTCATAAAATGTGTTCTGATCTTCATCGAAGTCACAACAATAGACAAACACAGTCTGCTTAAACTAATACCACACAAACAATTATATGTTCATGTTTTTATTGAACACACCGTGTAAACATTCACAGTGCAGGGTGGAAAAAGTATGTGAACCCCGAGGCTAAAGACTTCTTCAAGAGCTAATTGGAGTCAGGAGTCAGCCAACCTAGAGTCCAATCAATGAGACGAGTTTGGAGGTGTTGGTTAAAGCTGCCCTGCCCTATAAAAAATACACACTAGTTTTGAATGTGCTATTGTTAAGAAGCATTGCCAGATGTGAACCATGCCTCGCACAAAAGAGCTCTCAGAAGACCTACGATTAAGAATGGTTGACTTGCATAAAGCTGGAAAGGGTTACAAACGTATCTCTAAAAGCCTTGATGTTCATCAGTCCAGACACATTGTCTATACATGGAGAAAGTTCAGCACTGTTGCTACTCTCCCTAGGAGTGGCCGTCCTGTAAAGATGACTGCAAGAGCACAGCGCAGAATGCTCAATGAGGTGAAGAAGAATCCTAGAGTGTCAGCTAGAGACTTAAAGAAATCTCTGGCACATGCTAACATCTCTGTTGAGGAATCTACGATACGTAAAACACTGAACAAGAATGGAGTTCATGGGAGGACACCACGGAGGACACCACGGAGGACACCACGGAGGAAGCCACTGCTGTCCAGAAAAAACATTGCTGCACGTTTGAAGTTTGCAAAAGAGCACCTGGATGTTCCACAGCTCTACTGGCTAAATATTCTGTGGACAGATGAAACCAAAGTTGAGTTGTTTGGAAGGAACACACAACGCTATGTGTGGAGAATCCAAAGGGTTCACATACTTTTTCTTGCAACTGTATATGGCAGTAAAACAAGAATACAGTTTGAAAGGGGAGTGATTTGTAAAATATCCATAAAGAAAAAGAAAATCTGTTTACAGTTGTGTTTCATATGGGTGTTCCCGCCTGGAACACCACCACTAGTGTGCCCTTGAGTAAGGCCCTTAGTACTCCAGAGAGAATGTCCCTCTAGTTGGTAATTGTAAGTCGCTTTGGATAAAAGCATCAGCTAAAATGAAATGTAATGTGATGTATTGAGATGTATCCATAGATCTCTCCATGTTGCTCTCAAAGTGCACCAGATTGATGCTTTTAACTTCAATATTTAAAAAACAAATCTTCCCGGGGGAGCATCCCCCCGGACCCCCCTAGAGGAGGTGAGGTCCGCCCCCCACTCATAAAAAATAGCACTTTACCCCTGCCTATATGCCATGAGCTGATTATCGAGCGTTCGTTGTAACAGTCGCGGGTGTACTGTGTGTGCGTGTGGGGAGTGTTGCAGTAGAACATTCCACTGTAGTGCCGTGGCCGCCGCCACTGTGGGCTAACCCTGAATGTTTTCAGGTCCAGGACGCCCCTGGTCATCACGCCCAACATTAGCCGCCTTTAGCTTAGCAGTGATGAAGCACAGCCATGTGTGATGTAGTTTGTTTATAGCCTAACGTTAGCTTTTTACTGCCGATTTTATTTACACTTTACACAAAAAACACAAAAGTGGTTCATATGTGGAGATTGTCCTTAGTGTGTGAGTATCATTAACGTGTTTTCTGCAACATTCTATAATCCAATGAGGAAATCACATTGCTCGATGGTGCACTTGCGAAGTCCGGGTCGGCCCACAAAAAAACGTCATCACTGCACCGCTCTGGAGTTACACATTTGCAGAAAAAAGAATTTACCGAATGCAATCACTTGTTGAATACTATAATGTATTAACTATGATCTGCTCCCCCCGTCAGATCTGTTGGAACCTCATGACTGTCAGAAGTGCTGCCTCAGCTTCTCCTCCCTGGAGGAGCACCGGCAGCACATCCACGAGCTCCACCCCAAGGAGTTCCACAAGTGCCCCACATGCGACAAGGTGTTCACCAGCGCCGCCCTGCTGGACAAACACAAGGGCACACACACAGGAAGCAAGCCCTTCAGCTGCGAGCTCTGCAACAAGTCCTACCAGGTCTGAGGTCATGTCTTTAACCCTTCTCTTGCGTTTCGGGTCTAATCTGACTGATTTAGTTTTTGATCATAAATATTGTATTTTTCATTCAATTGCCTCGAGACCTTATGTTATCCTCCACACTAGGCCTCTGAACATATACACTTGATGGTCACCACTTGCATTGATTTTTTAGTGATTTATTCAACAGTGAAACACCCTTGATGTTTTCGGTCAGATTTGACCGCCATAGGAAATGAATGGGTATGAGTGTATTATGTTCATCTTGCAGATGGAAAACATCTACACACACACACACACACACACACACACACACACACACACACACACACACACACACACACACACTCACACTCACACCACACACTCACACTCACACACACTCACATACACTACATACACATGCACACCCACTTCTTGTGCTTATGTCCCCCCACACCTTCCAGACAAAACAAGTGACTCTAAGTTATGGGAACCTCTCACTTTCTCGCGCTGTATGATGCAATGTATTATACCTTCTCACAGGTGCAAGCTCTGTGCCCCTCGAGAAAGAAAAACCTCTCACCTTCTCGCGCTAAATGCCCCTCCCTTACTGTCTCTCATGCAGTTATATTTGTGCCTTGCTCCCATTTGACTCAGTGACACAATGAGTAGGCGACCGATTAGGCGATTTTCTGTCTAAAGTATTAGCATCTAAATATAGTGAAAGTACCAATAGTAAAAGTAGTCGTTGTGCAGATTGGTCCATTTCAGAATAATATATATGATGTGTTTTTTAATGATTGATCATGAAAGTGTTCTCAAAGCTGGTAAAGGTGCAACTAGTCTGAATGACTTTGCACACAGGTGAGCAGACTGTAAGCAGCTCGAGTCATTTCTCCAGACTCGGTGTTTGCAAAAGAATATGGGAATATTTAGAGATGAAAGTCTGTTGGAAAAAAAATTCCGTTCAAATATATTTTCAATACCTTCACTTGCATAGTTTGTGCAAACAATTAAACCATAGTAGCGTTGTTATTTATATTGATAAGCTAATAGTTTCAACAGAAATGTTTATTTCCAAAGGTTACATGACATTATATTTTAATGTCCCACATAGTAGGCTACAGACACACTCTTTGTCCCAAATGTGACTTAGTCAGCCTATTGGTTATTGCCTGCATCAAAATGTTTACATCCTGTAGGGAGAGTAGGGCTGCTCGATTATAGCAAAAATCATAATCACGATTATTTTGCTCAATAATTGATATCACAATTATTAAAAACGATTATCCATTTACTTTGAAAACATCCATTTAGAGAAAAAAAACGTTTGAACAGTTGGTTTTTAACAGTTGATTACCCTGAACTTTAAGTATAATTCAACTGAAAACACAATAAAAAATGTTTTACTTTTTGTTTTTTCAATAAAAAAGAATGATCGTTTTATTTCGATTACGTTGTTTTCGTAATCGTTGCAAGCCAAAATCATAATCGAGATTAAAATGTGATTAATCGCACAGCCCTAATGGAGAGCATGGTGTCCTGTGTATTTAATGTATGTGTCCTTCTCGGTTTCCGTAGCAACTGTCAGGCCTCTGGTACCACAACAGGACCAACCACCCTGACATGTTTGCTAACCACACCCGGCAGCTCAAGACTCTGTGCCAGTGTGACGTCTGCTTCAAGTTCTTCCCCAGCGCTGCCAGTGTGGCCAAACACCAGGCAGCAGAGCACCAGGGTGAGCACACACACACACACGCACGCACGCACGCACGCACGCACACACACACACACACACACACACACACACTAACATCATACCTTTAGCTGTTGGTGGAAATCCATTGATCAGACTTGTTTAGCCTGATACAGATCCTTGATCCAATATGATGAATGAATTACATTAACATGATTCAAGTTTCCCCAATTTGAATTTCGTGTGTCTGTGTGTCATGTGTAGGTGGAAAGAAAAAGGTTTGATTCTTAAAATGATCTTCAGTTTTTGTATTATTCTCAGTTTGATCCTGGTGTAGTTGTTGGAGCACAGCATGGTCTCAGACCACATGGGGTTTCTACTTACTGCCAGCTGTGCAGATTCTCCTCACTATGGATCCATCGTCCTGCTCTAACTGGATGGAAGACAGCACATCACGTGTTGTTTAGCGGCTAACAGCAGCTCCTTGTCTCCTCTCCTCCCTGACCCCGTGTTCTCCTCCCTGACCCCGTGTTCTCCTCCCTGACCCCGTGTTCTCCTCCCTGACCCCGTGTTCTCCTCCCTGACCCCGTGTTCTCCCCCCTGACCCCGTGTTCTCCCCCCTGACCCCGTGTTCTCCTTCCTGACCCCGTGTTCTCCCCCCTGACCCCGTGTTCTCCCCCCTGACCCCGTGTTCTCCCCCCTGACCCTGTGTTCTCCTCCCTGACCCTATGTTCTCCTCAGGCTCCACGGCTGCAGCGCTCACCTGTCCCTACTGCCCTGCTGTGCTGGGGGGGGAGGAGGAGCTGCAGGAGCACCTCAGCAGCCAGCACTTGGAGGCCTCCAGCTGCCCCTTCTGCTCCCTGCTCTGCTGCTCCCAGCTGGAGCTGCAGGAGCACCTGCTCTCCTGCCACATGGAGGCTCAGGAGGAGCAGGGGGGGGGGGAGGAGCAGGGGGGGGAGGAGGAGCAGGAGTCCAGCTCCCACACTGTAAGCATCATTACATCAACAAAAGGACTTTTGAATATCAGGTCATGAGTTAAGTCATTTATAGATAGGGTTGGGAACCGAAACTCGGTTCCAGATGAGAACCGATAAGAAAATGCCGGGTACCGGGTAGCCATACAAAATACACAATTTCGGTTCTGCTTAACGGTTCCTAAACGCGATAGACCCTGTATTCCACTGGGTCCGTCTGCGCCGCGGTGACCCGGTGGAATACAGGGTAAGGGCGGACTGGCCATCTGTGTGTTCTGGAGAATCACAGAACGGTCGGTCGGCTCGGTTCGCTGACGGCCGGCTTGGTTCGCTGACGGCCGGAACCACCCTTAATTTTTTTAAACGGCATCATGTAAGTTGCGCTGACAGGCGACAGAGGTCCACAGTTGCCCCGCAGCGAGGCTCCCCCGCCCTCCCGTAGACAGTTCACGAGCTCAGTCACTTCATAACACCAAAGATGGGTCGCGGTAAACGCTCTGAGGTGAGGCTCCACTACACTAAAAAGAAAAAGACAAGGCACAGTGTGATGCCTGCTAATAGCTTGCCACAGGCATAGCTCAGTTAAAATAAAGCACAGCTATTGTGTAATACATTTGTATTGCATGTATATTTTTTATTTGTAAAAATGTCAGTTAAAGCTTAAAAGAATAAAGATATTTTTGAGGTCTAAACGTTTGACCTCTTTTACAATTTTGGAATCGAAACGGGGAATCGATAAGCAGAACCGGAATCGGAATCGATACATTTCAAACGATACCCATCCCTATTTATAGGTAACAATGTCAAAAATGAGTGGGGTTTTTTGCTTGTTTTACCTAATTATTATACTTTATTATGAATAACGACGACACAGTGCAGAAACAGTGAACGTTTCCACCAACAGAACAGAGCAGCTTCACCCTTTATAAATAAATACAAATCTTGAACATATGACTTCTCTCTCCAATCAGGAGACTGCAGCACATCCAGCAGGAAATGAAGGGGCGGAGTCAGAGGCCCAGCAGGTGTTTGTGGCTCTGGCAGGAGGCGGAGAGGTCAACATGTACGAGCTGCTCAACAGCTCCGTCACCATCATCTGTGAGGACAAGGCGGCAGCTGCGGACTCCTGACCCGACCTCTGACCCCTGGAGGATCAGAGCTATGTCTCAGCTACAACTCACACAACCCAGGCCATGGACTCAGTGTGATGAAGCTTCACGTGTACTCCACCAAAATCTGTTCTGTGGTGCAGCTGTGTGGCCGTTTTCAGACCAGTGATGGTTCCTGACTTTGGAAAAAGTTCTCATTCATTTAAGTCCAGCTCTGCAGACTCCAATCCCTGATGAAGACTTTACGTGTTTGTTTATTGAAGGAGTTTTTTTCTGAGACTAAAACCCACTGTGTGTGTGTTCCTTTCATTGCTCTCCAACATCACTCTTTCATCTGTGGTTCTCTGACAAGTTGTACTGAAGTCTTTCAAAACGTTTCACAAATGTAGTTTTATTTAAAAAAAAAAGTTTCCTCTCAAATATCTGGTTGCTTTTTAGTATCGAGCCAACAGGAAATAGTGTGTTAGTTGATGACAGCTCCTCGGACGTGCACTTTTTCTCATTTAAAATAAAATACAATACCAATTCAAATGTAGTTCTGTGTTTATTACAGATAGTGCTGAAAGGGACTGGAGAAATAACTTCCACTGTGATCTCCTCATACAGCACAGCCCATACTCTGTATGTAGAGTGAGTTGTTCTCAGTAGCATCTCAAAAGTAAAGTAACAACATTCTCACTATTTGGATTTGAACGCCTCTTTTTCATCAAGGAAACATCATTATTGCAGAACATGATCATCAAACTGATTCAAACATGGCAACAAACCCAGCAAAGAAGAGCGGCCGGTTAAACCCAGTCTGGAGATGAAAAGGTGGAGCATTTCCTGGTTCCAGACCCTTTCCTGGCGTTACCTATACAGTCTATGAGCGTTAAAGAACCATTATATGTTGAATTATCTTCCATTATTATTTTTAATTACACACACATTCCATGACCATCAAATGGTATTATGTCCAAAAAGTATTTACATAAGCTGCCTGTGTGTGCTGCAGTACATCCAAAAGGTCTTAGTGCATCAGGTTTACAAAGCAGGGCTCTGGCTGAGTGCTGGATACATCCTTTTGCTGTGAAAAACCTCCTGCTTGGACTTTGATATGCCCTGAATACAGCCTGTCAGGCAGTCTCTGCTGCGTGCTGTGTGGCCTTCTCAGCTAGTTCTGTAGACAGTATCAAACAATTAGTTTGATGGTTCAGCCTCCCTCAGAGAGAAGCCAGTTTGGGGAGACCAACTTTTCATTGATTAGCCCTTAGAAACTGGACTCGAATTGGAGGGTAAAGTGCATTGATTGCATGTTCTACCAATTTAAATACTTTACAGAGATATTGAGAAAGACAGAACTTTGAGCACGGGTGAAATATGATGGGAGGTTTTCATTTGCATTCAATTCCTGGATTGTGTGTGCCTTGGGCCTTGTTTGAGAACGCAACACATAAGAGGGGTCACTATTGAGTGAACTCTATTGTACACCTATTGACTACAAAAGCAAACATAACACAACATCAAAAGTAGCACATCAGAGGTGATGCATGTAGTTTTACACATATAATTATCAAAGCAAGCAACTTAATAATAAATGAGGACTCTGAGGACACCAGTGATAACACTAAAGCAAATGTTCATATCCCACATGTTTACTGTTTTCCTCTATAAGAAAGTCATTAGCTCAAAGCGCCCGCCTCCACCAATACGTGATATTCTATAGCATCATTCATGACTCTACATGATGGTGGCCATGCTCTATTAAAGCTGCATTGGTTGGTTTGTGTGGCCACGGAGGAACAGAAGCCCTCCTGCTTATTTGCACATTCTGCAGACACTGAGCAACGTTAGCATTTATGTAGTGGTGTTAGTGTCCACATGCTGAACCTCAGTCCAGTATCTGCTCCCCTCAGCTATGTTTGGGCTCCTTATTTAAATATCCAAACATATTACTGACTGATGGAACTTGCTTTAAATGTGGCTAATTTAAGCAGCCAAGACAGACAAATGTATCACAAAGAATACATATATAGAATTTGCATGCTGGTCTCAAATCATCCACAGCACCTTCATCATTTTCACTGCATACGGAGTGCAAATATTCCTCTGCAGATGTGTCAGGACCACCACGACCTGCTGGGTCTTCATACATGTGTTCTACGTAGCGCATGGTTACCCACACTGTGCATAGTGCCACTCCTTCTGTCCTCAGCAGGACTCTGAGCTTGAAGGCCTTTCGTTCTCTTGCTGGAGTTAGTGAGTCAGGAGGTATCAGAGTTCATATATGAGCAAACAACCTGGTAATGCATACCGTCCAATTTCTGCCCAAAATGTATATTCTGTACTTCTTTCAATTCATTCATTTATCAAATGGAATCACACTAAAGAACAGCCTGCTGCAACCCGCTGGTCTTTGCACTTGGTATAAGAAACTAGAACTGTTAGAATAATTTCAGCATTCATTTGCAGAGAAATTAGAAAACACAAATGAATTGTTTAATTTAAGGGTGAAAGTGTTCTTCAGTAACTAACAGCGATTTAGCACAGTAAATCTAAAGTTCTCTACAGACAGCGGCGCTGTAAGACAGGCATGTTTTTATGCTGTGTACTTGTTTAACTTCCAAAGGCTGCTTTAGCTCCTGCTCCGGTCTGATCGAGTACAAGGTCAATCCAACATGGCCCCAGAGGGATTGAGGGGGATCTCCTGTGCTTCCTAGCTGGTGACCTTCTTGCGTGGCAGGTAGGCGTTAGTGATCTGGTTCATCACCACCAGGGCAGGGAAGAGGGGCAGCAGGAGGAAGGCCCACCAGGCGAGGCCTTTCACCGTGGCCTGGAACCAGTCAGAAAACATGGCCGACACCACGGTGACGGTGGCCAGCAGGTAGACCACCAGGCCGCAGGTGGCGTGGTACAGCTTCAGCCTCAGCGGGGGGGAGGACAGGCGCAGCAGCTTAGGGAAGAGGAGGCCGACCCCGCAGGCCGCCTGCAGCGCAGTCGCAGCCAGAGTGCAGACCCCCAGCACGCTGTGCCAGGTCAGCAGGTGGGGGAGCTCCGACACGTTCTTACTGGCCACCATGAAGCCCAGGCCGGTGGCCGCGGCTATCAGGACCAGAGCCTGGCAGAACCAGTGCAGACGGACTTTACCTTTCCGGGACACGAAGCAGAAGGGGGATCCTTCAGCCGAGAAGAGGAGGACGCCTTCAGTCATACACAGGCAGTACTGCAGGGGGGGGGGCGGACACACATGTTATTGAGGGTGTGTAGAAAGACAAGGTGTTGGAAAAGAAAAGGACGAGCTGGAGGCCCAGATGAGTTATTTTATAAAACCAGGACTCATCCTGTGCATTACGCTGACATATTAAAGAAAGAAAAGAGTTTTAGCTACAATTTGTTTACGGTTGTTTGTGGATACTTTGGCTAATATTTAGGTTTATCTAATGAATAGATCTGTTTATGACAACTTGGGTCTTGTTTTTTGCCATCATTGCTATTGGTTGAGATAACACTTTATTAACCAAAGTTATTAATGATCTGGGAACACAGAGACGTTGCTGTTAAAGAATGTGACAGTGCAGACCACTATGTCACATATACATATCCTTCTTCTGCCTGTGCTCTGAAATCATGTCTGTGGAAGAAAAGCTCCCATCGCTGACAGGTGTGTTTCTGTAGAGGCAGGATGTTTATACAGGAAGTGATCATGGCTGACACTGGTGGTGATGCACCATCCCGCTCTTCCTCCATTAACCATGACAGAGAAGCCTAACATCCCGCTGTTAGCTGACATATTCCAGGTGAGCTTGTAACACAATATCTGAGGCAGTGATGCAACACCGAGCTTTGTAAAGCTTTCCCTCCATCTATTATTCACCGTGGAAAGAGACCGGAGACATCCATGTTATCAGATGTACACACTAATGAAAGACCTGCCTGCAGTCGTATGGAAAACACTGAAGAATTAACATTCCAACTGATAATTCATCGACATAACAAAATGCCATCAATACGTACTGATGCTTCAAATAAAAGGCACCAACTCATGTCAGTAATGGTTGCTTCTTCTCTGATGGTAACAATATGTTCTTCTTGTATGTATGTGTTGTGATGAATGTGTGCGCTTGAGAGAGAGAGAAGATGAAGTCAGGTGCAAACTTACTGCGACAGACATACACACAGGATGCCAAGAGAACAGACCTGAAACAGAGGAGCAGAATCACCTTACAGTTCAAAAGTACCCAAAAGAACATTTCAGATGTCTGGAGGCTGAAAGCTCTGTAAGGACGAGGCTCAAATACATGTATTTATATTCATTTGAACGATTTAATGTTATAGGCTACTGTTTGATACTAGTTTAATGTTCTAACGGCAACCACTTTGCAGATTTATAATGTCTCTAGTATGTAATATTGTTAGTACTATATTGTTGTTTTATAGAGTATTCTACTTTGTATTGTGTATATGTTCTACTGTGCATGCTTTAGATACTCCTTTAGATATCCATCTTTCTACCTTTGCAATGTATGTAGGCTATTTGCTGTTTATTTGCATTACATTTTAACTCATGTGCAATTCCTTGTTATTATGTGACAAAACAATTTTCCATTTTGGGATCAATGAAGAATATAATCCAATGCCCAAATGTAGGCTATAACAGAGTGCAGTTTGGTCCTGTCTCCACTCACTGGTCCCGGGCCTGGACAGCAGGCAGATGGAGAGGGTCAGGCCCAGGCCGGTGACATGAGCCGTGATCACCGCCGCCCTGCGCAGCCACACATACAGCCAGAAGTCCCGCATCCCCAGCCCCTCTCCCACCGGGCTGTACTCCACATCGGACGGCATGCCGCTGAGCTCCTGCCCGGCTACCTGCCCACTGCTGCCGCGGAGAGAACCGCGCGGAAACTGAATGACACGGCGCGTGAGCTGCAGGAACACTGCACGAGCTCCATACTCACTTTAGAGTTAAGAAGGATGAACGGGGCAGCAGAGAGGAACACAGCGAGGTCAAGATACACACGGCACTTAGCACTTCCGGTATGTCGTTTTTCAAAGTCCGTGTCCAGGTAAATGATGCGGTTATAACAATCTTCCAATCGGCATTATCCTATGACTCCGATATATTCAGTCACGCGCACACTGCATATGGGACCTCTGGCTCGCGGTGTAAATAAAGAGCTGCTCTGTCGCAATCTCTTTGTGAATGAAGTGCACATTAGTTTCTGCGGTCCAGTAGCACCAGTTACGGCCTGCTGGTGAGTTCTTCCTCTCTCCCGTGCACCCTCTTCTGAAAGTCCGCCCGTGTGATGAAGGCGCGGACTGAAGACTGGAACCTCCGACTCTCAGTGCTGATCATATATATCTATGGTGCTGCTGATGGCCCGCAGTCAGGATCAAGATGGTGTTATTGCTTTCACTTCCTGGTTTGCATCTTCGCCGAAGAGTAGACGGGGTTGAGATGACTCCCTCCCATATTCACTTTGTCAATGTTGGCTGGTCCTTCTGTGTTCAATCAGCTGGCGACCACAGTGCTGGAAACTGCCCGTACTGCTACGTGAGGGTCTCTCAACTATTTTCAACATGGACAAGATTTTAAGTTTGATCTAAAGATATAATGTAATACAGTATTAAGGACAATGAAAAAATGGCACTCATTCATTTTCCTTGTGAAACTGACAAACTTTTTTGTAATGTTCTATTGTTTTATAACTCTATTGTCTATGACTTAAACTGTATTTCATCTCTATGGTTAAGTAATAATATATAATGTTTCAGTTGCCTTGACAACATTGATGTTTAACATATTCCTATAGTGCAATGGTTTCTGTATTTTAATGTTCATCATTCTAACCCTAACATGCAGCTCTATCAATGTCAATTTGTATTTTCCCCATCTTTATTAAAATGACAATTATCAAACCATGGATTCAAATACTCCAAGCTCTCTTGTACCCTGAAGAGTGTTTCTAAGTTCGACTAGGGATTAAAAAATGATCAGTTACCCTATGTCATGCTGAATTTGAGAGTAGACTGAATTGAAACAATGCCCAAGACATTTCCATCGATGTGAGCATCACGTAAATGAAATGCAAACAGAACAAGCAGACACAGAACATTAGTGGGATACTGCCATACTCTTAATAATGAGAACATGTCAAGTTTAAGAGAACGATAATTACCACCTCAGTTTATGACTGCCCCAACCAGTCAAGTAGCCATTTCTTTCACATGGACATGTCTATCCTGACTCATGTTATTCTGTATTTAGCAAAGAATTTGAAGGAAATAAATAATGTGTTATTGTATTTTTTCTAGATGAAATGTATCAATGTATTTCCATGTATGATTGGGAATCATTTGCAGGGAGAAATAGGCCTTCCACACTTTGAGACTTGTTTACAGAGAAGTACAGAGCACTGAGATGTTCATCACATGGAGCAACCAGAAGTATCTGAAGCTCGGTGTTGCTGCCGAGTGGTGTTATACAGTATGGTTCAAATTCATTTGCCTTTTAAATCTATTTAATCTTGGTTTATTGTGAGAAGTTAAGTGACAAAAAACAAACAACAAATTCCTTCCTTGTGTTCACATGCTTGGCAAATAAAGCTGATTATGATAGAACACAAAGTGTAACCCTGACACTCCAGTGTTTAAATGATGATGTTGCTTCAAGTTGTGAACGGTGGAGGCTCCACACACATCTTCCACTCTGCAGCTCAGATTCAGGTCTTAAACATCAGTGCTGCTCGAGGTGGGAGTATCTGAAATGTGCTCACCATCTCGCCTTCTATACCTGAAATATTTGTGCATTACATTGTGAGGTCACATTAGAGGTTTTCCTTTTAGATATAAAATGTATTCACTTCATAACGTATCCTTGCACCTATTATGCAAAATCCACTTCTCCATGTCTCTTCTACATCAACATGTGTCCCCTCTTCTCCATGTCTCTTCTACATCAACACGTGTCCCCTCTTCTTCATGTCTCTTCTACAATCAACATGTGTCCCTCTTCTTCATGTCTCTTCTACATCAAACATGTGTCCCCTCTTCTCCATGTCTCTTCTACAATCAACATGTGTCCCCTCTTCTCATGTCTCTTCTACATCAACACTGTGTCCCCTCTTCTTCATGTTCTCTTCTACATCAACATGTGTCCCCTCTTTTCATGTCTCTTCTACATCAACATGTGTCCCCTCTTCTCCATGTCTCTTCTACATCAACACGTGTCCCCTCTTCTTCATGTCTCTTCTACATCAACATGTGTCCCCTCTTCTTCATGTCTCTTCTACATCAACATGTGTCCCCTCTTCTTCATGTCTCTTCTACATCAACATGTGTCCCCTTCATGTCTCTTCTACATCAACACGTGTCCCCTCTTCTTCATGTCTCTTCTACATCAACATGTGTCCCCTCTTTCCATGTCTCTTCTACATCAAACATGTGTCCCCTCTTCTTCATGTCTCTTCTACATCAACATGTGTCCCCTCTTCTTCATGTCTCTTCTACATCAACATGTGTCCCCTCTTCTCCATGTCTCTTCTACATCAACATGTGTCCCCTCTTCTTCATGTCTCTTCTACATCAACATGTGTCCCCTCTTCTTCATGTCTCTTCTACATCAACATGTGTCCCCATCTTCTTCATGTCTCTTCTACATCAACATGTGTCCCCTCTTCTTCATGTCTCTTCTACATCAACATGTGTCCCCTCTTCTTCATGTCTCTTCTACATCAACATGTGTCCCCTCTTCTTCATGTCTCTCTTCTACATCAACATGTGTCCCCTCTTCCTCATGTCTCTTCTACATCAACAGTGTCCCCTCTTCTTCATGTCTCTTCTACATCAACATGTGTCCCCTCTTCTTCATGTCTCTTCTACATCAACACGTGTCCCCTCTTCTTCATGTCTCTTCTACATCAATATGTGTCCCCTCTTCTTCATGTCTCTTCTACATCAACATGTGTCCCCTCTTCTTCATGTCTCTTCTACATCAACATGTGTCCCCTCTTCCTCATGTCTCTTCTACATCAACATGTGTCCCCTCTTCTTCATGTCTCTTCTACATCAACATGTGTCCCCTCTTCTTCATGTCTCTTCTACATCAACATGTGTCCCCTCTTCTTCATGTCTCTTCTACATCAACATGTGTCCCCTCTTCTTCATGTCTCTTCTACATCAACATGTGTCCCCTCTTCTTCATGTCTCTTCTACATCAACATGTGTCCCCTCTTCTTCATGTCTCTTCTACATCAACATGTGTCCCCTCTTCTCATGTCTCTTCTACATCAACATGTGTCCCCTCTTCTCATGTCTCTTCTACATCAACATGTGTCCCCTCTTCTTCATGTCTCTTCTACATCAACATGTGTCCCCTCTTCTTCATGTCTCTTCTACATCAACATGTGTCCCCTCTTCTTCATGCTCTTCTACATCAACATGTGTCCCTCTTCTCATTCTTCTACATCAACATGTGTCCCCTCTTCTTCATGTCTCTTCTACATCAACATGTGTCCCCTCTTCTTCATGTCTCTTCTACATCAACATGTGTCCCCTCTTCTTCATGTCTCTTCTACATCAACATGTGTCCCCTCTTCTCCATGTCTCTTCTACATCAACATGTGTCCCCTCTTCTTCATGTCTCTTCTACATCAACATGTGTCCCCTCTTCTCCATGTCTCTTCTACATCAACACGTGTCCCCTCTTCTTCATGTCTCTTCTACATCAACATGTGTCCCCTCTTCTTCCTGTCTCTTCTACATTCAACATGTGTCCCCTCTTCTTCATGTCTCTTCTACATCAACATGTGTCCCACATCTTCTTCATGTCTCTTCTACATCAACCAGTGTCCCCTCTTCTTCATGTCTCTTCTACATCAACATGTGTCCCCTCTTCTTCATGTCTCTTCTACATCAACATGTGTCCCCTCTTCTTCATGTCTCTTCTACATCAACATGTGTCCCCTCTTCTTCCATGTCTCTTCTACATCAACATGTGTCCCCTCTTCTTCATGTCTCTTCTACATCAACATGTGTCCCCTCTTCCTCATGTCTCTTCTACATCAACATGTGTCCCCTCTTCTTCAGTTATCTTTACATCAACCATGTGTCCCCTCTTTTCATGTCTCTTCTACATCAACATGTGTCCCTCTTCTTCATGTCTCTTCTACATCAACATGTGTCCCTCATCTTCATGTCTCTTCTACATCAACATGTGTCCCCTCTTCTCATGTCTCTTCTACATCAACATGTGTCCCCTCCTCTTCTACATCAACACGTGTCCCCTCTTCTTCATGTCTCTTCTACATCAACATGTGTCCCCTCTTCTTCATGTCTCTTCTACATCAACATGTGTCCCCTCTTCTTCATGTCTCTCTACATCAACATGTGTCCCCTCTTCTTCATGTCTCTTCTACATCAACATGTGTCCCCTCTTCTTCATGTTCTTCTACATCAACATGTGTCCCTCTTCTTCATGTCTCTTCTACATCAACATGTGTCCTCTCTTCCATGTCTCTTCTACATCAACATGTGTCCCCTCTTCTTCATGTCTCTTCTACATCAACATGTGTCCCTCTTCTTCATGTCTCTTCTACATCAACTGGTCCCCTCTTCTTCATGTCTCTTACATCAACATGTGTCCCTCTTCTCATGTCTCTTCTACATCAACATGTGTCCCCTCTTCTTCATGTCTCTCTACATCAACATGTGTCCCCTCTTCTTCATGTCTCTTCTACATCAACATGTGTCCCTCTTCTTCATGTCTCTTCTACATCAACATGTGTCCTCTCTTCTCATGTCTCTTCTACATCAACATGTGTCCCCTCTCTTCTACATCAACATGTGTCCCCTCTTCTTCATGTCTCTTCTACATCAACATGTGTCCCCTCTTCTTCATGTCTCTTCTACATCAACGTGTCCCCTCTTCTTCATGTCTCTCTACATCAACATGTGTCCCCTCTTCTTCATGTCTCTTCTACATCAACATGTGTCCCCTCTTCTCATGTCTCTTCTACATCAACATGTGTCCCCTCTCTTCATGTCTCTTCTACATCAACATGTGTCCCCTCTTCTTCATGTCTCTTCTACATCAAACATGTGTCCCCTCTTCTTCATGTCTCTTCTACATCAACATGTGTCCCCTCTTCTTCATGTCTCTTCTACATCAACATGTGTCCCCTCTTCTCAATGTCTCTTCTACATCAACATGTGTCCCCTCTTCTTCCATGTCTCTTCTACATTCAACATGTGTCCCCTCTTCTTCCATGTCTCTTCTACATCAACATGTGTCCCCTCTTCTTCATGTCTCTTCTACATCAACATGTGTCCCCTCTTCTTCATGTCTCTTCTACATCAACATGTGTCCCCTCTTCTTCAATGTCTCTTCTACATCAACATGTGTCCCCTCTTCTTCATGTCTCTTCTACATCAACATGTGTCCCCTCTTCTTCATGTCTCTTCTACATCAACATGTGTCCCCTCTTCTTCATGTCTCTTCTACATCAACATGTGTCCCCTCTTCTTCATGTCTCTTCTACATCAACATGTGTCCCCTCTTCTTCATGTCTCTTCTACATCAAACTGTGTCCCCTCTTCTTCATGTCTCTTCTACATCAACATGTGTCCCCTCTTCTTCATGTCTCTTCTACATCAACATGTGTCCTCTTCTCATGTCTCTTCTTACATCAACATGTGTCCCCTCTTCTTATTGTCTCTTCTACATCACACATGTGTCCCCCTCTTCTCCATGTCCTCTTCTACATCAACATGTGTCCCTCTTCTTCATGTCTCTTCTACATCAACATGTGTCCCCTCTTCTTCATGTCTCTTCTACATCAACATGTGTCTCCCTCTTTCTTCATGTCTCTTCTACATCAACATGTGTCCCTCTTCTTCATGTCTCTTCTACATCAACATGTGTCCCCCTTCTTCATGTCTCCTTCTAATTCTACATCAACATGTGTCCCCTCTTCTCCTATGTCTCTTCTACATCAACATGTGTCCCCTCTTCTTTCAGTGTCTCTTCTACATCAACATGTGTCCCCTCTTCTTCATGTCTCTTCTACATCAACATGTGTCCCCTCTTCTTCAAGTCTTCTACATCAACATGTGTCCCCTCTTCTTCATGTCTCTTCTACATCAACATGTGGTCCCCTCTTCTTCATGTCTCTTCTACATCAACATGTGTCCCCTCTTCTTCATGTCTCTTCTACATCAACATGTGTCCCCTCTTCTCAATGTCTCTTCTACATCAACATGTGTCCCCCCTCTTCTCCATGCTCTTCTACATCACCATGTGTCCCCTCTTCTTCAAATGTCTCTTCTACATCAACATGTGTCCCTCTTCTTCATTCTCTTCTACATCAACACGTGTCCCCTCTTCTTCATGTCTCTTCTACATCAACATCGTGTCCCCTCTTCTTCATGTCTCTTCTACATCAAACATGTGTCCCCTCTTCTTCATGTCTCTTCTACATCAACATGTGTCCCCTCTTCTTCATGTCTCTTCTACATCAACATGTGTCCCCTCTTCTTCATGTCTCTTCTACATCAACATGTGTCCCCTCTTCTTCATGTCTCTTCTACATCAACATGTGTCCCCTCTTCTTCAATGTCTCTTCTCATCAACATGTGTCCCCTCTCTCATGTCTCTTCTACATCAACATGGTCCCCTCTTCTTCCATGTCTCTTCTACATCAACCATCGTGTCCCCTCTTCTTCATGTCTCTTCTTACATCAACACGTGTCCCCTCTTCTTCATGTCTCTTCTACATCAACATGTGTCCCCTCTTCTTCATGTCTCTTCTACATCAACATGTGTCCCCTCTTCTTCATGTCTCTTCTACATCATGTGTCCCCTCTTCTTCATGTCTCTTCTACATCAACATGTGTCCCCTCTTCTTCATGTCTCTTCTACACAACATGTGTCCCCTCTTCTTCATGTCTCTTCTACATCAACATGTGTCCCCTCTTCTCATGTCTCTTCTACATCAACATGTGTCCCCTCTTCTTCATGTCTCTTCTACATCAACATGTGTCCCCTCTCTTCTTCATGTCTCTTCTACATCAACATGTGTCCCCTCTTCTTCATGTCTCTTCTACATCAACATGTGTCCCTCTTCTCATGTCTCTTCTACATCAACATGTGTCCCCTCTTCTTCATGTCTCTTCTACATCAACATGTGTCCCCTCTTCTTCATGTCTCTTCTACATCAACATGTGTCCCCTCTTCTTCATGTCTCTTCTACATCAACATGTGTCCCCTCTTCTTCATGTCTCTTCTACATCAACATGTGTCCCCTCTTCTCTTCTACATCAACACGTGTCCCCTCTTCTTCATGTCTCTTCTACATCAACATGGTCCCCTCTTCTTCATGTCTCTTCTACATCAACAGTGTCCCCTCTTCTTCATGTCTCTTCTTCATCAACATGTCCCCTCTTCTTCATGTCTCTTCTACATCAACAGTGTCCCCTCTTCTTCATGTCTCTTCTACATCAACATGTGTCCCCTCTCTTCATGTCTCTTCTACATCAACATGTGTCCCCTCTTCTTCATGTCTCTTCTACATCAACATGTGTCCCCTCTTCTTCATGTCTCTTCTACATCAACATGTGTCCCCTCTTCTTCATGTCTCTTCTACATCAACATGTGTCCCCTCTTCTTCATGTCTCTTCTACATCAACATGTGTCCCCTCTTCTTCATGTCTCTTCTACATCAACATGTGTCCCCTCTTCTTCATGTCTCTTCTACATCAACATGTGTCCCCTCTTCTTCATGTCTCTTCTACATCAACATGTGTCCCCTCTTCTTCATGTCTCTTCTACATCAACATGTGTCCCCTCTTCTTCATGTCTCTTCTACATCACATGTGTCCCCTCTTCTTCATGTCTCTTCTACATCAACATGTGTCCCTCTCTTCATGTCTCTTCTACATCAACATGTGTCCCCTCTTCTTCATGTCTCTTCTACATCAACATGTGTCCCCTCTTCTCATGTCTCTTCTACATCAACATGTGTCCCCTCTTCTTCATGTCTCTTCTACATCAACATGTGTCCCCTCTTCTTCATGTCTCTTCTACATCAACATGTTCCCCCTTCTCATGTCTCTTCTACATCAACATGTGTCCCCTCTTCTTCATGTCTCTTCTACATCAACATGTCCCCTCTCTCTTCATGTCTCTTCTACATCAACATGTGTCCCCTCTTCATTCATGTCTCTTCTACATCAACATGTGTCCCCTCTTCTTCATGTCTCTTCTACATCAACATGTGTCCCCTCTTTCTTCATGTCTCTTCTACATCAACATGTGTCCCCTCTTCTTCATGTCTCTTCTACATCAACATGTGTCCCCTCTTCTTCATGTCTCTTCTACATCAACATGTGTCCCCTCTTCTTCATGTCTCTTCTACATCAACATGTGTCCCCTCTTCTTCATGTCTCTTCTACATCAACATGTGTCCCCTCTTCTTCATGTCTCTTCTACATCAACATGTGTCCCCTCTTCTTCATGTCTCTTCTACATCAACATGTGTCCCCTCTTCTCACGTCTCTTCTACATCAACATGTGTCCCCTCTTCTTCATGTCTCTTCTACATCAACATGTGTCCCCTCTTCTTCATGTCTCTTCTACATCAACATGTGTCCCCTCTTCTTCATGTCTCTTCTACATCAACACGTGTCCCCTCTTCTTCATGTCTCCTTCTACATTTAACATGTGTCCCCTCTTCTTTCATGTCTCTTCTACATCAACATGTGTCCCATCTTCTTCATGTCTCTTCTACTCACATGTGTCCCCTCTTCTTCATGTCTCTTCTACATCAACAGGTGTCCCCTCTCTTCATGTCTCTTTCTACATCAAACACGTGTCCCCTCTTCTTCATGTCTCTTCTACATCAACATGTGTCCCCCTCTTCTCATGTCTCTTCTACATCAAACACGTGTCCCCTCTTCTCCATGTCTCTTCTACATCAACATGTGTCCCCTCTTCTCATGTCTTCTTCTACATCAACATGTGTCCCCTCTTCTTCATGTCTTTTCTACAATCAACATGTGTCCCCTCTTCTTCATGTCTCTTCTACATCAACATGTGTCCCCTCTTCTTCATGTCTCTTCTACATCAAACATGTGTCCCCCTTCTCCTCTCTTCTCCATGTGCTCCATGTCTCTTCTACATACAACATGTGTCCCCTTCTTCTTCATGTCTCTTCTACATCAACATGTGTCCCCTCTTCTTCCATGTCTCTTCTACATCAACTGTGTCCCCTCTTCTACATCAACATGTGTCCCCTCTTCTTCATGTCTCTTCTACATCAACATGTGTCCCCTCTTCTCCACGTCTCTTCTACATCAACATGTGTCCCCTCTTCTCCATGTCTCTTCTACATCAACATGTGTCCCCTCTGTGGAAAGAGACTCTGAACGTTTCAGGAACAAAGATTCTCTCTCTTTTTGATCCATTTCTATAAAAACCTGAAAATGAGCTGATCAGATTTTGGCCACTTTATGATGTCATAACGATGTGTTGTCTTGTGTAACCATTAGCCAATCAGCAACCAAGGTAACCCCCCCACCCCCCTTTATCACCCTGAATCTCCTCCCTAGAGCACCATTGAGTTCTTTGTAACCCAATATCTCTCAGAGGGGCTGTGGGGAGGGGCTCCCTTATTTTCATTCTAAAGTAACAGACAGAGAATCAGCACTTGGAAACAGGGCTGAAACAGAGGGGATTATGGGTAATGCTGCAATGATCTGTTTGGTGTTTGGAGCCAAACACTTCAGAGACATGTTCTGTATTTATCTGAGACCTGTAATATATTGATGAAAAACAGTATAAATGGGGAACTTTAAGATATTTGTGTATCATCTTCTTATGTGTGTTTTAATCCTTTAGTTACAGCCAAAAACGTGTTTTGTGAGGTCACATTGACTTTGACCTTTAAACTCCAGATTGTGATCAGTTCATCCTTCAGTCTAAGCGGACCTTTGTGCCAAATTTGAAACGTTTTTCTGAGATATCACGTCCACGAGAATGGATGGAAGCATGGACAGAAAAGCTGAAAATATGCCGGCTGCGCCCTGAGGGTCTTCAGATTTGTGACGTAACATTACAAAACGGGTCATAGAAAACAAGTGTAAAGGACATTTTTAATCCATTTTGATAAACAAACATATTTAATTTAGCAGCATAACCGGATGGTCTTGAGGTATTTTTAAATCCATACTCTGAATTTTATCCCACCCTCCCACACACACACACACACACACACACACACAGACATTCTCACACACGCACGAGTCCCGTTTGCCCCAGTCTTGGACTGAGCAGAGCTGGCTCCCTCTTGTAAGGCAGGCACACTTAATGGTGCAGTTTTGGCTGTGGGGACAGAAGAGAGATTGAGATTGTTACATTTTGACAAGAGTCTGTATATTCACTTCAGAACTGATTCAGACCTTTTGACCTTTATGTTCACTTGATGTCTTAAACTCATTGAGGTTTTGGTGAGAGCTGCAGGAAGGCAGTGGGGAGGCACTGCACTCAAATCAGCTTGTTTAAATAGGACCAAGTCTCTCTGTATTCTGGGTAGCATGCCATTTGAAAAACATACCTGATTGGCTTTAGCATTGAGCTGCTCACCTCACAGCTACTGTTAACTCCAACAGACTGATGGAACACTTACTAAGCCTTTTTACAGCACTCCTTTCCTAAAGAATAACAGCTGCAGAACCACACTGACTTAGAATCAAAAAGAATGCTGCATCTGTCCCACACCGCGCCACAACTGCCTCTCCTGCACTGTCTAACATGGTGACATGGACAATCTTCCCAAAGAAGCACATAAGGCTTTGCAGCATTACGGTGATTTAGGTGAAACTGGATCCTGTTGTCATTAGGTCATGTTATAATGGTGCTGCAAATGAAGCTGGGTTAGTGATATTACATATCGGACGTTAAACGTCATTAATGTTAGGCTGTGTTAGCAATATTATGGACTTATTTAGGTATAGGTTATATAAAATAGGTTATTGCAGTTTCTATTATGTGGTGCTGATTGTCGTCATGGAAACACAGCTCTTAAAAGATGAAGTTGTGAAAACCACCCCAGAGAACACATGACGACATATGTTCAGTAGTGGCTGAATTTCACATTTTGTAATGATTCAGGTTTTCTTTGCATTGTGTTAATTAGTTACAGCAGGTTTTGTTTCCACTAAAACAGTTTTTAGTGTCTCAGACGTGTTTTGAAAGGTAGTTATGAATAGTGAGGACAACAGCTGTATCCGACCTACAGAGAATTCCAACAGTGACCCAGTGTCACATCAAAGACGTTCCTAACAGTCAGTAGAAACATCAGACACCACTACTGCTGACATTTGAGATGCGTCGTATGGGAATGGACAGCAACTGGCTCAGTGTTTCTTTAACACGGTGAAGGGAGCTGCCACAGATCAGGAAGTGATGGTAAGAAAGAACAACAATAATGATCAGTGTGTGCTTGTCAGATTGGCAGTGATTTAGTTTTCTTTATTCAGCTCATTGGCTGTCTACAGACCATCCTGCTGAATGTTGGGGGGGGGGGGTATTTTACCTCAGGAATATTATACAAGCTTGACATCAGCCAGGATGTCAGTGCAACTAACTGCAACATAGCCCCTCCCTGTCACCCTGGTATTGATCAGCCTTTTCGTGTCCTTCAAACTCACCTTCTGTGTGCCCAGTTTCTTCTCCACACCCCTGCCAGCCCCCCCCCTTTGCTTTCCTTCCAGGGATTAAAAGTTGGAGCGCGGAGAGGAGGAGGAGGGGCGGGAGCTGGAGGAGGAAGGGGGGCGGTGCACTGAGGGTTTGGAGGGCGAATGCTCCCCCATTCCGCCCCCCTTTCGTTTCTTCACAAGCCCCTGGTGCTCACAGCCCCTTCCGCCGCCCTGCAAGTGAAGTCCTGAGTCCCCCCCGCCGGCCCGGCTGTGAGAGTTGTGGTTGGTGGACGACGGGTCTGGGGGGAGGGGAGGAATGGCCCAGAGGAGTGTGTGTCCGGTCTGTAGGTCCAGACCGCCTTGGCGGCTGGTTGAATGGGGTTCTGAGGGGGAGGGCTGGGGGCGGGGCTTGTTGCTGCTGGGGGAAAGTGTGCCATTGGTCTGTCCATGTGTGAGCGGTGAGGAAATGGGGGTTTTAGAAGAAAAGGATGAAGAGGAGGAGGCCGCAGAAGGTGGGCGGCCCCGGTCCTGGAGCAGTATACAGTTCCTGTCGGGGCCTGAGTGCTCCCCCTCCTGGGAGGGGGCTTTGCGTTTGCGCTGGGCAGCAGCGGTGGCAGCCTCCTCTCGCAGCTTCATCGTCTGCTTGCTGGGGCGCCCAACAGGGTTCTTAAGACGCCCAGAGCCCCCCGAACGCACCGTCACAGGCTTAGCTGGAGAGAGCAGGTGACCCCCAGCGAGGCTGCCCCCGCTGACCCCCGAGTTTTCCGTCTGTATGGCTGTCGGGGGTCTTCCTGGACCTCGACTGGAAGAGGAGGTAGAGGAGGCCGTTTTGATTGAGGAGTTGAATATGACTCTCCTGTGCGGACTTAGAATGTAACGAAGAGGAAGAGGAGGAAGAGGAAGAGGAAGAGGAGGAAGAATGAGGACGAGGACGAGGAGGGAGAGGACGAGGAGGGAGAGGACGAGGACGAGGAGATGGTCCGGGCCGAGGGATGGTGAATGAGTGAAGATCTGTGGCTTGAGGTATTTTTCCTGTTTTCAACGAAAGAATTAGGCCGAGAATTCTAGACTTGCTAACATGTTCTATAGCAGGGGGGTCCAACTCAAATACAGTGAGTGAAGGTGTGCGTGCAATATGCCGGCGGGCCAGATCTAATAATAATTAGAAATGATCCTGTGGCCTCGAGTTTGACAAAATGTGTTCTATAGGACATTCTGACGCATAAGAATGGAGCATGGGAAGCTTTTTGACTACAGACTCAACTGTGGCCGCAGCAAGCAGCGTGCAGATACTGTACGTCTAGAATTAAATATGGATATTTATATTTCACAAGATGTTAAATTGCACAATTAGATTCATTGGTTTCTCACTCTGTAGTTTTTTGCGCTTTATTATATCTTGCTGCTTGTTTTGATCCACATGTTATTATATTTGACTAAATGTGTGATCAAACTTCACAAAAGTGTTCTGCATCTAAAACCAGCAGAATGTTCTACGGTTTTCACCGACATGCCATCTGTAGTTAAAACACACAGGACAGTTTGTGAACAGCCATGCGCGCTCACCCAAGTCACTGCTTGGAAATATTTGGAAGAGGTCAAGGTTTGAAACCCCTAGATTGCCGGGTCATATAAATAATGGAACAATTAACCAAATGACTGGACAACATACCAGAGCAAAGCAGAGGTGATAACTTTAATACAATTAAGATGCGGTATGCCAATCATACTTGAAGAATTGAGTATTTGGGTAGAAAAATGCAATAAGATAAAGGACCAGCTACACTAAGGCATGGTTTGCTAGTTACTCTGGTAACTGCAGGGTTCTGACAATCTGGGTTATTGCTCAACAACCAACCTACATTTGAGTGAGATCAGAAAATAGCCTACTGCCAAATTACAGAAGAGCAATATTTATAAAAAGGCAAAATATAAATCAAATCCCATTCTAAATGGAAGAATTGTAGCTCGATTAAACAGATCCAAATGAAAATGGGAATTATGTAAAAGATATCCCCTGCTGTTGCTGAAAAGTGTTTAGTTCCTTATATGACCATTGATGTGCATTGTCAAACGAGGTCAGTCTCCATCTTAGTGCAGACTTCACTCAGTGTTCAGCACTGTGATTCTTGGCAGCAGAGAACACCATCCTGCTTCAATCTATTAGTGAATAAGGCAGTGGGTTTACACTCAAGTTCATCTGCAAGTGTTACCAAAAGCATTCTGGATGTACTCAAGCAATCCTCCCATGGACAAGTGGGTGGGAGTCTCAAAGAAACAGAAATGGGATGGAGGTTGAGGTTGAGGCTGATTTGCACATGTTATACTAGTGATCAGGTTAGTCTCAAAATGTATGTCATTAAAATAGCAGTGCTTTTGCTGAATGTAGTATAGGCTATCTACTATCAGAGACTTGGTTGGATGCTCAGCACATTTTAGCCCATTGAGAACCTTTGGCAACTCTGGGGCATTACTTGCTGATTTCTTTGGTTCATTCTGTCAAATATTCTGTTTATGAAAATATATTTTTCTTATATCATTCTTGTCAAAAAACATTTTAAATGTGACATTCACTTAAAGGTGGGGTAGGTAATGTTGGAGGAACCAGCTCGAGTGCGCTAGAATTTGAAAATACACAGCCGGAAGAAATCTGCCACTTCCTCACAGAGCCCCTCCTCCAACACACAGGAACGCGCACATGACCAATGAGGGCACGAGATAAGTTTGTGCACAGATGGAAGGCTGACAGGCAGGTAGGCCATCCAGTTACTTTAGCCGGGCCGGCTCAGATGATTGGTCGTGCTTTTTACAGTACTACGGCTTCCAGAGATGATATTTTTTAATGGATTTGTTGTCAAAGCACTTCAGATATTCATTGCCATCAGGATGTTAAGAGCATTCCATGGAATATAACACAAAGTGTCTCTCGAGCCGGTTTCTCAAACGTACCTACCCCACCTTTAAAGAAAAGCATTTAGATAAGGAGAACATATGTTTGTACTTGTAGCATACAGTATAAATGCCAGTGACAAAAAGATACCAAAGTTATCTTTCCAAGAAATGTTGACAGTGATCAGAATAAAAGCAGAGCGAAGTCAAAAGGACCACTAAGAATGTGAGTGTCTTACTTCCAGAGGTGTGCGCTGATGTGCTGCTCCAGCATGCTGCTGAGAGCCGACCTCAGGTGGTGTAGTCTGCGGTCAAACGTGTAGATGCCGTGACCCAAAGCATGGCTGCCAAATGAACATACCTGCAGAGAGAAGGCTGGTTGTAAATCTGTTACAGGCAGGTGAGTTAACCTCCAAGAGAACACCTTGAAGATGAAATAGCGTTGCACCTAATAAATCAATACATGTGGTATGTGCTTGTCTTTAATATTGTTAAACCCAAGTACAAACGGCTCACCGCTAGAGGTCTGGGACGTGCAGCAGAAGATGGGAACTCAACGGGCTCCTCGGGTCCCTCTGCCTCACTTTCATCACTGGAGATTTTTCCATGGACCAGAGGTGAGGGGGCTCGGACCCCCCCCTCGTCCTGCTGCTCATCCTCCGTGTTGCTCTCCGACACAGACGAAGGCCGACTGTAAAAACACACATTCGACTTTTGCTTCATCCTTTTTTCGGTTTTTTTGGTTCCACAAAATTATATTTTACTATAATCAACAACATCCTTTTTCTAACTGACTAAGTGCTCTCACTTAGCACCACCTCTAAGCCCCCAAAGGACTCGGTGTCATCTTATTGGCTGGTGAGAAAAATTGCAAGTAGCTGCACAATATGTATATGTGCATGTGCAGAAAAGTGTTGCAATTGTAAACGCCGAGTTAAATATGTGTTAGTTTTGATCAAATTCATAATATGAATTGTGATGTGCCTCCATACTAGGGATGTGCATCTCCATCACTGAGGCGATGCGCATCTCGATACGCTGCCAACGATACGATACATTTGAAGCACCAGGCGATGCGATACGATTCACCCCTGTTGCGATACAGTTCTTTACGATTTGATTAAACATTATGCGATAAGGGGCGATTCAACACGATGCAAAATAATGATACTTCAATATGGGACAGAGGATTTTTGTTTTATTCCTCATATGCAGCAAATCATAAATTAACAAAAAGTGCTTTACATATTTGGTACTCTCTGCTAGTGCTGCACATCCCATCATGCTGTTTCTTTTTGACCTTAAAGAACTCTCCAGAGTACAGTACCATGTTATAACACCTCACAGTTAAACAATTTAAGGATGCATTGTCCAGGATTAACAATGTGCAAATAACAGCTACCATAGTGCAATGCCCATACAGCGGCGGCCTGATGTCAGTCAGTTTAAACTATGTTTTATCGATTGTTATGCCTTTTTATCTATTCTTATGTGTGCCTTTTATCTATTATTGTAATATTATATTTTATTATAATGTTATGTCTGCTGTGAAGCACTTCGGTGAAACCCTCTGTTTTTAATATGTGCTATATAGGGGTGTAACGGTTCACAGAAGTTACGGTTCGGTTCGTACCTCGGTTTGGGGGTCGCGGTTCGGTACGGGTTCGGTACAACAAGAAAAAGCAAAAGAAAGTCCCAAATGCATAATTCCAGGTTTGTTGTTATTTATTTTTGAACAGTAGTGCAAGTTTCAGTTTAAAAATAAGGAACTCTGACATTTTGAATAATTAACTGCATTAAACAGTTAAAAACAAACCACAAACAGTACCACACACACTCAGATGGCCAGATTATCTATAATGGCTGATGTCAAACAAAAAGGTTTCATCAAGCTGTAAAACGAAAAAGAACGTCTTGAAAATATTACATCATAAATAATAAGAAAGTGTTTCAAGAGCGCATAGTCGTTGAAAAACATATGCCAAAAGCTTCCGTTATTTATTTCGGTCTCTCGGCTTTCATGTCTATTGGTTTATTAAAAACTAGTGATGTGTCGGTCGCGAACGAGCCGGCTCAAAGAGCCGGCTCTTTTAAGTGAACGACAGGAGCCGGCTCTCGCCCGCGAACGAGCCGTTTTTTTTTTTTGCGGAGGGATCTAGATCGGCATGAAGGCACATTATGCAATGTGCACATTATCCCGCTTATTACATGGCCACATTCTCAACAAAGTAACGACATGACTCCCAATATTAATTGAAATGCTTTTATGGATTTAGAAAATGATTTTATTGATTTATTGAGTTGTATGTATTTAAATTTACATGCATCCGCTAAGAAAAATAGTCCGTTGTTACTGTTTGAACTAACGTAGCAACGGCAGGAACTGCTTCGATAGTGTTTTTGAGGAGCTTTTTGATTAGATTTGAAAACATCGCTGCTTGCTTTAAAAGTTGCACAATTCATTATGTCAAACCTTGGAAAGTATCTAGATATCCCTGCCCTAATGCCAAAGTAACTGGCAACTGAATATGTGTCGCCGTTTGATGTCTATGTCTGGACCGCTGCGTAAAAAGGAGGGTTTCTGCCCCATTACTTCTCTTCTTACTTCAATAAGAATAAAACACGGAGGAGGGAGATCTCTTTTTCTCCCCCTCTTCTGACAGCCCAGCAGCTGATCTCAGAGCACGTTCCCCTCTCCTGCAGGGGGGCGTGGTCAGCTGCAGCTCACAGAATCATATATATACCTTATATAGGTATGGCCCTACAATATATTGTTCAAATATAGCATGATAGGTCCACTTTAAGTAATACAAGACAGAATGATGATGATGATCTCTGCGCTACAGCTGCTCCGTGCATGCATGCAGGTGACATGTAATATCCAAGGATTAGAGACGGTTGGATGCTGCTGTTTTGAGCATTGCAATATATTTATTTTCACTATGTTATTTATTTATGATTATCCTTAGGCTCAGCAAAGATTTGATGTCAGCTGTTGCTGTCTTTTTTTCTATAGCTAATAGTTACTGAAATAGAGCCCTGCTGTTTGTCAGGGCCTTTTCTTTAAATAGAATTTTAAAATGTCGATACAGTAGCCCCTTTTTAAAAATAGTTTGTATAGGTGTTGCTATCTGTTTTGTGTAGCGTGGTTCGACAAGCAAGTCAGTGCATTCATTGGGTGGTATCAGAGAGTTTACACGGGTCTGTAAATGCAATGAAAACATTTGGCCACAGCAAATAATTTATATTAAACATGTAATTTTTACTTTTGAATACTTCAGTACAAAGGATGTATTGAATAATGTAAGTGTTATATGTGTGTACACATATAAATCATTAGTCAAAACAGGGCTACATTTGATTTAATTAAAAGGTATAATATGTGGTAAACTGAAGAGCCGTTTGGGAGCCGAAAGAGCCGGCTCTTCTTGGTGAGCCGAGCCAAATGATCCGGCTCACCAAGAACAGCCGGAATTCCCATCACTATTAAAAACAGCGGGGATCAGCTTTTGAACTGCTGTTGTCTTTTGCCGGGCTCCGGTGATTGGCAAATCTGGGTGATGCCTTCTGATATGATTTAGCATGTTTGGCGTGTGTTACCATTAGCATACCGTACCGCTATCGAACAACGCCGACACACCATCCTCGTCCGATCCACCACTCGCTCACTTCATCGTTGTTGTAGTCCACAGGGAACCCGAAATGTTCCCACACAGCTGATTTAAAAGAAGCAGGTGGGTTCTAGCTCCTGTGTGTTATCTGAAATCGCCACACTAACTTTTCTTCTTCTTGTATTTTGTTCGTTTTGTTGTTGTGTTTCTTCTTGTTCTTCATTTGTTGTTTAAGGGCAGCTGGCAAACAGCTTTAGGCGCAATACCGCCCCCTGGATTATAAATAGTGTAGTGGATACTGCCCTGAATGACAGACTTTTTTCCCACTCGAAAAAAAAAGGCGTATTCGTCGTGTTGCATGTGCCGAACCGTGACGGTACGGGACGAATACGGATACCGTTACACCCCTAGTGCTATATAAATAAAGTGGATTGGATTGATGTGCTTAACACTCATTCATAGGCTAACTCACCAGTGAGCAGAAAGCAGTGGGTTCTATATGAACAATAAAGAAAATAACCTTTCACAAACAGCTCTTTCATAACTGCTTACAGTAAGGAAGACATTTAAACTGTTATTGGCCGTCACAGGCTGCTGTAAACTAAACACCACTCTCTCTGACAGAACACCTCACTGAGTGATTTAACTCACGTCTAACTTTCAGGTTTCTCTTTTCAGCCGCAGACCCCATGTCGCCTCTTTATGTGCGTCGCTAAGTTCCTCGTACTACTTGTGTACTTTAAAGCGGCTCGGCATCGTTTACAATTTGTGAGCGATTTTTGAAGTTGTCCGTCTTTCTCTTCAAAATCCGAAGTGTTGCCAAATGATTGATTTGTAGGTATTTTTTGGTGCGTTGTGTTTCTCTTTCTCCTCGACTTCCATGTGTGTTGATCACTGAGACTCTCGGCCTCCGTAGTGCGAAGCAAAGATCAAAGATCGTCTCTGCTGAGTGTTGACAGGATGAGAGGATATTATATGAATGAATCGTTTTGTTACCTATGCAAAGACACTACAATCGATGCATCGCGAGTTCAACCCAAACTTTAGCCGATGTGCACTCTTTCAACCGGTGCACTCGCATCTTCAACGTTTATGCCGGTGCACCGATGCGAATCGGTGAATCTTCTGAACATCCCTACTCCATACACACATCTCTATCTGAGCTGGCGTCAGTAAAGTCCACTAACCTGAACGCAGGGAGGCTGGCCAGGGGTCTCCTGCAGTGTGGGGCCCCCGTCTGTTCCATGGGGGCCTCTGGGCTGGGGGAGCGTCCAGCAGAGGAGTTTCCATCCAGGGATTTGGCCCCTTTTTCAACGGACCTTGGTCTTCAGTTCTGCCACTAGCTGGTCAAAGTTCTTGCTGCGCCCCATCACTTTCCTCCGCTGGTGGATGGAATGAATCTGAGGACAGAGGAATAGCAGGTCAGTCACTGCTGCATTTCAAATAAACGGACACAACTTGTATTTGGTGAAGGACCCAAAATGATGGATTTCTAGACTCTTTGGGTAATTGCTGTTGTATATCCTTCTAATAATAATAATAATAATAATAATAATGCATTTTATTTATAGAGCGCTTTTCTTGAAACTCAGACACTTAATAGAGTAAAAATTCATAAAAACATAATTAAAACACTGAAAATATATAAAACAGTGAGTGTGGTGATTAGGGTTGCAAAGGGGCGGAACACTTCCAGTACATTTCCATGGGAAGTTAAGCTGGGGAATTTTGGAAATATTCCATATTGGAAACTTTCCATGAGAATAATGGGATTTATGGGAATTTCTGGGAACTAACTGGGAATTGAGGGTAATGTAATCGAATTGTATCATTTTATTTTTTGAAATGAGCCGTTGCGACTTCCGACTGATTTCGATAGAGCGGGTAACATATGAGCACAGCCCTCTATGGATGTCAGCATGAGCAAGAGAAAGGTATCGGAGGGGAATCGTGTTTCCAAGAAAAGTGGGAGAAAGAATATATTTTCACTGAATTCAGGGGTAAACCACAATGTTGAGTGTGTTTGCAGACCGTTGCTGTAATGAAAGTAAGCAACTTGAGCCGCCACTACTACTAATGTGTGTGTGTGTGTGTGTTCCAAGACAATCTGCGGCCCCCTGGTGGCCAGTACTTAAATTATGTGGCCCCCACCACCATCCAAGTTGCCCATTCCCTGCTGTAGAGGGTGTGGTCTCAATAGCCATGCAGTAAGCAGTGTGCTTGAGGAATGGCATCTGTTTGTTTTAGTCAAGATTATGCTAAAATATACTTTCCCCAACTATATTGAAGTTCCCTATGAAGAGCCAACCTTCAATTTAGAAAATTCCAGTTTATTCCCATGGAAAGTTTCCATCTTTGAAAATTCCCGGAATTTTGCAACCCTAGTGGTGATGGAGCAGGTCAGTGAGGGAGGAGGGGGCCTGGTGATGGAGCAGGTCAGTGAGGGGAGGAGGGGGCCTGGTGATGGAGCAGGGTCAGTGAGGGAGGAGGGGGCCTGGTGATGGAGCAGGTCAGTGAGGTATGAGGGGGCCTGGTGATGGAGCAGGTCAGTGAGGGAGGAGGGGGCCTGGTGATGGAGCAGGTCGGTGAGAGAGGAGGGGGCCTGGTGATGGAGCAGGTCGGTGAGGGAGGAGGGGGCCTGGTGATGGAGCAGGTCGGTGAGGGAGGAGGGGGCCTGGTGATGGAGCAGGTCGGTGAGGGAGGAGGGGGCCTGGTGATGGAAGCAGGTCAGTGAGGGAGGAGGGGGCCTGGTGATGGAGCAGGTCAGTGAGAGAGGAGGGGGCCTGGTGATGGAGCAGGTCAGTGAGGGAGGAGTGGGCCTGGTGATGGAGCAGGTCAGTGAGGGAGGAGGGGGCCTGGTGATGGAGCAGGTCAGTGAGGGAGGAGGGGGCCTTGTGATGGAGCAGGTCAGTGAGAGAGGAGGGGGCCTGGGTGATGGAGCAGGTCGGTGAGGGAGGAGGGGGCCTGGGTGATGGATGCAGGTTGGTGAGGTAGGAGGGGGCCTGGTGATGGAGCAGGTCAGTTGAGGGAGGAGGGGCCTGGTGATGGAGCAGGTCAGTGAGGGAGGAGGGGGCCTGGTGATGGAGCAGGTCAGTGAGGGAGGGGGGGGCCTGGTGATGGAGCAAGTCAGTGAGGGTAGGAGGGGGCCTGGTGATGGATGCAGTCAGTGAGGTAGGAGGGGGCCTGGTGATGGAGCAGGTGGTGTGAGGGAGGAGGGTGGCCTGGTGATGGAGCAAGTCAGTGAGGTAGGAGGGGGCCTGGTGATGGAGCAGGTCAGTGAGGGAGGAGGGGGCCTGGTGATGGAGCAGGTCGGTGAAGGTAGGAGGGGAACTGGTGATGGAGCAGGTCGGTGAGGTAGGGGGGGCCCTGGTGATGGAGCAGTTTCAGTGAGGGAGGAGGGGGCCTGGTGATGGAGCAGGTCGGTGAGGTAGGAGGGGGGCCTGGTGATGGAGCAGTGTCGGTGAGGTAGGAGGGGAACTGGGTGATGGAAGCAGAGTCGGTGAGGTAGGGGGAGGGGGGGCCTGGTGATGGAGCAGGTCAGTGAGGTAGGAGGGGAACTGGTGATGGGAGCAGGTCGGTGAGGTAGGGGGGGGCCTGGTGATGGAGCAGTTTCAGTGAGGGAGGAGGGGGCCTGGTGATGGAGCAGGTCGGTGAGGTAGGAGGGGGGCCTGGTGATGGAGGCAGGTCGGTGAGGTAGGAGGGGAACTGGTGATGGAGCAGGTCGGTGAGGTAGGGGGGGGCCTGGTGATGGAGCAGGTCAGTGAGGGAGGAGGGGGCCTGGTGATGGAGCAGGTCAATGAGGTAGGAGGGGGCCTGATGGAGCAGGTTGGTGAGGTAGGAGGGGGCCTGGTGATGGAGCAGGTCGGTGAGGTAGGAGGGGAACTGGTGATAGAGCAGGTCAGTGAGGTAGGGGGCGCCTGGTGATGGAGCAGGTCAGTGAGGGAGGAGGGGGCCTGGTGATGGAGCAGGTCGGTGAGGGAGGAGGGGGGGGCCTGGTGATGGAGCAGGTCAGTGAGGTAGGGGGGGCCTGGTTGATGGAGCAGGTCAGTGAGGGAGGAGGGGGCCTGGTGATGGAGCAGGTCTGTGAGGGAGGAGGGGGCCTGGTGATGGAGCAGGTCTGTGAGGGAGGAGGGGGCCTGGTGATGGAGCAGGTCAGTGAGGTAGTGGGGGCCTGGGTGATGGAGCAGGTCAGTGAGGTAGGTAGGGGGGGCCTGGTGATGGAGCAGGTCTGTGAGGGAGGAGGGGGCCTGGTGATGGAGCAGGTCTGTGAGGGAGGAGGGGGCCTGGTGATGGAGCAGGTCAGTGAGGTAGGGGGGGGCCTGGTGATGGAGCAGGTCAGTGAGGGAGGAGGGGGCCTGGTGATGGAGCAGGTCAGTGAGGTAGGAGGGGGCCTGGTGATGGAGCAGGTCGGTGAGGTAGGAGGGGGCCTGGTGATGGAGCAGGTCAGTGAGGTAGGAGGGGGGGCTTTGTAGGTAAGCAGAAGGATCTTAAAATGGATGCGTTGTGGGACGGGGAGCCAGTGGAGGTCTGCAGGACGAGGGGATGTGGTCACGGAGCGGGTGAGGAGTCGGGCGGCAGAGTTCTGAATGTACTGGAGTTTATTGAGGAGTCAGGATGTGTACCATAGAGGATGCTGTTGCAGGAGTCTAGTCTGGATGAGATGAAGACATGGATGAGCAGAGAAGGAGAGTGATGGGCGGAGACAGGATATATTTTTGAGATGGAAGAAGGCAGTTTTGGTGATGTGCTGTCGAAAATGACTGAGGTTGCGGATGTGAGGGGAGGGGTCAGAGTGAAATGTCAATGGTGAGGGAGATGTCGTTATTGTTTTTGATGAGGGATTTGGGACCGATGACGACCATTTCAGATTCATCACAGTTCAGTTTGAGGAAGTTGTTTTGCATCCAGGATTATATTTCAGTGAGACAGTTGGTGAGAGTTGAAAGAGTTGAAGTGGTTCTGGATTTTGTTGAGATGTTAAGTTGGACATCGTTCTGAATAAATACTACCCATATCATAAGCTTCAATAAAAGTGGTGACACAGCTGTGTGATGTTTTCAGAGAGTAGATATGAATACGTCTTTAAACAGTTGAACATCAATTAGACCATCTATTCATTTCAAAAAAACTGATTGAAGGTGTATTCTGTTAAATGACAACATAAATGTGACCATCACACATTACGAGAATTACAGCTGATGTATCTTAGCTGCTCATTTCCCAAACACACCTAAAGTTTGAAATCAATTTTTTAAAGATTTCATGTGTCTGATAACTGGTCCTTTGGTTGTTTTGGAAAGAGTCTCAGGTACTTTGCTATAGAAATTATTCTTTTTGGATTGCAGTACACTCATGTAGGTTTATCATGCAGCACTGTCCATTAGTCACTTTTGCTGTTATCTTTAAATGCGTCAGTTTCATTTCAATAATTTGAGATGAATAGTTTTAAGGATTACATGACATATGTTCTTCCTAGCAGGTGGAAGAGTCCACCTTCAGAGCAGGTAGAGATGCAGGTTGTTCTCCTGCGTATCTTTCCCGTCACTCCTGTCACTTCCTGTTTATCGGGTCGTCCTGTCTGGATGTGGCCTCTCACACTCACTTCCTCCCTCACCATATAAGGACTCTTCCTGAGCTGGGAGCCATTTTCCCCATTCAGTATCAGTCAGTGCTCACTAGTAACAGAGAGGTGACTGCAGTGTAATTCATTTGAAAGAATCCACTCTTTTTGTCACTGTAAATGGCAAATTTCTTAAATGCAGAACTTGATCATTTGTCACTTGTTAAATATATCTTACAATGAGCTCACACTGCTTGATGTGCAATTGGATACACAGGTTCTGTGATTCTCCGATAGGTTATCAACTCCGATGTGATATCAAAATTGTCAATGCAACTTTTAAAACGGTGATACCAATACACTTGTTCCCTGTGCAAAACACTGTTACACTTGCCAGAGCAGCTATTGTTGAATACTAGATGTGGTTATTGATAGGACAACAAACGTCCACCTTACAGTAAATCACTGTGAATGTATTACTGCATCATCATGAAAACACAAATCACAAGGTCACATTTCTTACAATAGGGTTAATTAGGGGTATTTCTGATCAAATACCAATATTGCTTGTATATGATCTGCATATTATACATTTGCAGATTAAACTACTTTAAATACGGTTTGAATGCATCAAAAATGTAATAATTAAATGACTTTGGCAAGACCTCGACAAACTACAATGGCACAAGTGGATAGATCCAGTCCCATGGAGAACAACGCCCCTCCATTTACCATCAGATGAACACAAGAGTGTACTATGAAGACAACTTCGGTGCAAACCCACCAGATACCATGTGAAATGCACCATGTTTTGATTAATTTGAGATTCAATAGTAATGTTAAAGCTTTAATTAACCCGGCAAGCCTGGTAACAGTGCACATACATCAACACTTTACAGTAGTTTCCACTTCAATAAGAAGGTTCCAGACTGCAAACACAGGGAGGAATTCATGGGAAACTTGAATGAGTGCACGCTGAATGAATACTTAGATGAGCAGAAGTGATGTGTAATTATGCTGTAGGAGAATTTGCAGCCGCGTGTGAAACGGTACCACCCTCGTCCTAACACCAAATAATGGAATGCATTCAGAAAACACTGATCATGCCATACTCATCAAGTAGAGTTCACCACAGTAGAAGCATCTCTGACCAGAAGCACTGTCGCTGTTCTGCAACACCTCAATACTAACAAGTCATGTTTCTTTGTACAGTCATTCGTTTATCACCCTGTTCGTCAAAGAAAATGCGTAAACTAAAATGTTGGTCTTCTATAAAGAAAAACATACTATTATACAATAGTCATACAATAAAATCCTATTGGCTGATATGAGACAATATGAAACAAATATATCAGTGCATCCTTTGACTGGGACCTAACAAGCATGACTAACAAAAACAAAGACATGTAAATAAAGTGACTCCCTACTTAGAAAGATCACACCCAGAAGGGGTCCAAATACCATGGAACTGCCATCAATGCTGCTGTACTGCTGTCTGTCTGACGTCCTGCTATTAAAGTCAACTACTTGTCAGCCATAAAGAATCTGCATTGTATGTGCCTCCATCTATCACATCATCTCTACCATAGAATTGATAAAGGTACAGTTCCAAAATATTATCCAACTTGTTGGCTGTTGTCTGAGCACTGAAGAGACCACAAACTCACAACCTACTTTTCCACTGTCATGTGTACGGACTGGGTCAAAATCAAAGGTGATAGGACTGGATCCTGAAATTAATCCTCTCAACCTTCTACTGAACTACACAGAGAAAATAGAGAAAAACAGATAAACAATTTAAAACAAGAAAAAGAGAGGAATGAGACAGAAAAATGAATGTGAGGCACATGAAGTAGTGCATTGGTGTGGTGAGGCAGTGTGTTTGGAGCTCACATTGCATGTCAGGAGGCGGGTGCAGACCTTCTTCCTGTCAGGGTCAAGGACGCCGCAGTGTTTGTCCAGGTCACACTCCCTCTCTGAGGAAACACACAGCATCTCAGATACAGCACCACACAGTGAGCAACACACACGTCCAAATCTCTGCAGCTTACATAGTGACATGTGGGGGTAAAGTGATGACATACAACACCCAAAAAACAGATGTCCACAGATTGTATACATATTCACCAGAATGTGTTCTACAAGCTGGAATTCCAGTGTTTTCAACCAATTGACAGACTGTATATTCTGGAAGCATTTCCGTGCTTTTTAGTGGACCGTCAGCAAAGATGCAGTTTTAGTTTAATTGAATACATTGATATAACACAAGCCGCGTCATGGTGTGCATTTCAGGCACGCTTTACACACATGAGCAAAACCTGAGATGTCTTTTTAGAGGCAGTTCTGTTTTCTTCTGTATTATGTGCATTTCGACATGAATAGGCTCTGAGGCCAAACATGAGTGCATACTGTCCCTGAGAAAAACCCAGAAAACTGAAGCTGCTGTAATTAAGTGATGCTTTGAGCTGCAATGATTAGTCTATCAACAAATAAACTATTTTGATAATAGATTAGACAATAAATATTTTTTCATGCAAAATTAGGAGATTTCCTGCTTTTCTCAGTTTTTTTCTTAATCCAAATTATCTGAATATCTTTGGGTTTTGGACTGCCACAAACACTTAAAGATATCACCATGAACTTTGAGAAACTGGGATTTAAAAAAGTAACCTATAGAAAAATTGATAATGAAAATAGTTGTGTATGGGAAATTATGATAGAGCTTCAACTAACATCGTTCTGACAGACGATGACAAGTTGGGAAAACATACACTCTGCATGGTACAGGCAAGCACCCATTCCTGGTATATTACCTTTAAACATGGACAGCATCATTTCATTGTGAACTGCTTTAAAGTTATTATACCAACTTCCTTCCCCTTAAAGATTTTCTGTGTGTTTCTAAGAAATAGAACTTTGATTGTTTAGCAGGTAAAAATCATCAGTAGTTCAAACTGAAGGAGAAGCATACATCCTTCAACTGTTTACTACTACTACTACTCCGCCCACATCACCCAAACGGCTCCACCTGTACTCACTGGAGGCCACTTTGTTGTAGGGTCTGGGGACCCGGTGGTTTGGAATTCCCGAGTTCTGGGGGGAGTCCTTCTTCTGGTTCTGGGTGGGGGACCTATCACTGGGTGGAGGCCTACCAGGCGGGGGGGTGCCTCCATGCGGCCAGGGCGGATCTCTGAGTGATGGCGGGGGGGAGCTTATAGGAGGTTCCAGAGGCGGAGGCTGCTTGAACACTGGGGACTCTGTGTGGCTGCTGTGGGAGGGCTTCTCCAGCGGGGAATGTCTGCGTCAGGGAGGGGGAAGTCCAAAGTTAGTTTTTTAAGCTGAACTTTTACCATCACTGGCAAACATTTTTACTAAAATCTACTTTTAAGAGTAAATGTTATCCCAATTATTTTCCGTAAGGTGGTGTGGGAGAATAAATACTTCAACATTTGAATCTAAAGCTGAAAAAGCACCTGCCTGTCTAAAGACAGTGAATACATGTCTGAAGCTTCCATGTGTCATAAAAACGGTGAGTTTTAAACAACATTTTAATAAAGACTAAAAAAAACGTTATCACGCTGAACATTAGCCACCGTAATATTGTCGGTGTTGATGCGCAACCACGTGACCGCAGTGTTGTGTGTTTTGAGCTTTTTAGTTCTGGCAATTGTACTGTATGCTTCAAAAATCATAAATTGCTGTTAATATGATTATCCTGCTAAACTAAATGTGTAGGTATCGTAAACGTGTCTAACACAAATCTTATTTTCTGCAAAATTCCAAAACCCATTGCAGATATTCTATTGCTTCCTGTGAAGGAATCCCTTGCCATGCCAACGTTTGGGCCGGCCTACAATAATGTCATCACTTCACTGCTCTATATTTCATATTTTCTGTTATAAAACTGTTATTATCTGTTATGCTACGCACAAAATTCTTTATTATTCCGCCGGGTTATTCACAGCTAAAGTGGAGGACAGATTTAATTTTGCCTTAAAATTTTCTTTTAAACCTTCCATAATTCCCAAACCCTACATTCCTGAGACATAATTTTTCATGAGAAACGTAGGAAAACATCTCGTAGCTTGAAAAATAATAAATAAATAAGCAAAATAATTCAACAAAATGCCTCTTGAGGGCATGAAGTGACAACAACTTTCAACATGCCTCCATTAAAGCCCATTGTAATTTCAGGCTGATATTTTCTCACACCTTTAGTTAAACTGCCAAAAAGGCCACATTATTAACCCGAAAGTACACAAAAATTACACTTCAGATGCTCAAGTTCCTTGACATGCTTCAACGCTTTGAAATTTCACTGATATCTGTTACGGTTCTTCAACAAAACGTTCACATGTAAGAGGTTTATCTCATTCAGAACAATGAAAATGCTCTCCTCTCACTGATCACCATGGAAACCTTTGATCTCTGGACACGTCGTTAGCTCAATAAACACCTGTGTCATGGAACACGATGATGTCACAACTCAAACTGACATGCTCAGAGCAGCATTCTTCAGATAATGGTTAACACAGCTCTACATCAAATCTGATGTTACGTAATGTGGTGTTACTATGGCAACGCATCCCTCGCCATAAAACAGCAGCAAACTTCAGATAATGGTTAATGGTCCGGCACTCAACAGCTCTACGTCAATTATGGGGTGTCTTCATATGCTGTTTCCATGGAAATGCATCCCTCGCCATAAAACAAGATGTCGCTGTAACTCCAATGGACACGGTCCGATCGTCTCCCAAACTTCGCTTGTATATCACCGATCCATGCCTCAACAGCTTTACGCCAAATCTGAGATCTCACCATAGGCTGTTGCCATGGAAACGCATCCCTCGCCATAAAACACGATGTCGCTGTAGCTCCAATGGACACGGTCCGGTCGTCCCACAATCTTCACCTGTATATCACCTCTCCATGCCTCAACAGCTCTACGTGAAATCTGATATCTCACCATATGCCTTTTCCATGGAAACGCATCCCTCGCCATAAAACACGATGTTGTCGTAACGCCTGTGAAAAGGGTCAAAACAGCACCAGACTTCAGATAATGGTTAACGGTCCAGCCCTCAACAGCTCTACGTCAATTATGGGGTGTTATCATATGCCGTTTCCATGGAAACGCATCCCTCGCCATAAAAGACGATGTCGCTATAACTCCTATGAAAATGTTCAAAAAGTGCTCAAACTTGTGCTAACAGTCCAGCCGTGAAGACATATACGGGACAGTTTTGAGATTTCTTCAATTGCCGTTGCCATGGCAACACAATGCTCACCATGAAACACGGTTCTCATAACTTCAGTGAAAATGCTCCAAATGGCCCAAAACTTCACAGGTTTGGTAACGATGCAGCCATCAACGCATCTAAGCGTATTATGGGATGTCATCAAATGCCGTTGGCATGGCGACAGATCATTTGCCATCAAGTTCGTTCAAAAGTTTGCAGTTCAAATATTCTGCTGCTTTTCCAAGCCTTTTTACTTTCTTTTCTTCTCTCATCACACATTCAAGCCCCCAGTGTTCATGTATCATTTCAATCTAAATTCTTCACTTTCTTCTTACACATTACATTTCAGCATAGCAGTTTAGCGTCAGCTTTTCAGCATAAAGCATTCCCACTAGCAATTTCTTCAGGAATTGCATTCTCTAGTTTATCTTGTTTTTCAAAAAAATGACTTTCCCTGTTATGTTAGTGTTTGAGATTCATTTGCAATTAATACATTCTTTACTTTGTGCGATACAACTGGCTAGACTGTAATTCCAATGCAAATCAGTTTGGATTGCAAACTGATCGCTCTATAGAATCAAAATGTTGGTGGTGTATTGATAGCCTCAGTTGCAGACCATTACATTTGAACAAACTTAAATGACACGCAGCCACATTTGGCTGTAATGATCCCAAATTGGCTTGGATAACAAACCGAAGAGTAAAAAACTGGTTGTGGTTTCACTGCGGTTGTGTGCAGGTCTTCCTGATGGAGGTTCCTGTTTCTGACACATACTCCCCCAAAAATGACACCTTGGTTTTAGGGTGAAAAAAAAATGTGTGAAGGTCTATTCTGTGAACCCTGAAGTTAAGTTATCCCCGACCCCCCAACTTGCCCTACTCTGTTCTTACCGTACTCCATCCTTGGGGTTCTTGGAGTGTCTGTATTGTGGTGGAGTGGAAGGTGAGGGGGGGGGCTGGCTTTGGCTGCCCGGCCCCCTGGCCCCGACTCTCCCAGGATGAAGCGGAAGCAGCGTTGGTCCCATGAGAAGGAGAATGGCTGTGGTGGGGCCTCTGCTGGGGTGGGGTTGCAGGGGTGGGGGAGCGCAGCCGGGCATACAGCTTGGCCAGGGGGCCGTGTCGTCGCTCACAGTGCTTCTCGAACGCCTGCGGCTTCACTACTTGGCCACAATGGCTGCAGACCACCAGGTAGAAGTCATCATGGCCAGGGTATAGGCCGAAGATGGACATGTCTTATAGAGAGGAGAGAGACATACTTATCTCACTGCCAAATGTCACATAGCAATGTCACTAAGCAGCCCAGTATCATCCTGCATTATGAAAAGGTGTTAGATCTTCTCACTTAAAAGCACTGTCAGAGTTGAACTACACTGGTTGAATATAGCATTGAAAATCAGTATTCTGATGGTAAACGCCATTTGGTAACAATACAGTGTCTCCAACTTCTTGGATTCTGACATCAACTTGGACTTACTTCCAGACATCTACAATAATTTATATTTGTACCTTTTAATAAATAAATAGAACTGACACATTTTTTATAACATGCCATTTACTAGGTAAATGTATTGGCTGGAAACAGATCTACACTGGATTGTGTTTTTGTTCTTGCGGAGAGGGTTTTCTCAACATCCTAAATTTACTTCACTTAATCCAAGCACCTTCAGGCCTTGTCAATAGGCGACTAATTTGCCTTCAACTGTGAATGTTTGCCTGTATATGTACATATTGGTCGGCATGTGATAGACCAGCGACCTAACTAGGATGCAACCCACCTCTTGTCCATGTGTTAAAAGAACATTTTAGATTATCTTTTAAATTGGGTTGTCAGATTCTAAACAAAGAAAACACTTCAAACTGATGTTGATTTTTTTATGTGGGCTTTTCTTTAGGTGACTAAAATACATTTTGCTGCTGTAGCAGTTAATTGCTTAGCCTCCATGATGAGGATGGACATGAGGATGTCAGAACTCCGAGTCCTTTCTGCCTTTCAAAAAAAGGAGCGTTCCGACCGTCTTTTCCACAGACTCTGGATAAGTACCTCTACAATACAATCCCACTTTATAAAACACAGAACTATACTCTATCGGAAGAAGCAGGTTAAAGCTATTATAAAATGTATTGAGATGATATTGCATAGTATGCATTTCCCGAAGAAACATGAACTAAACAAATCACTAAAAATAAGTACTTTTTTTTTTTTTTTAAACTAAAAGCATTAAATTATAAATGTATAATTTAAGCAAATGTTTGGATCCCGGCTCAAACATCATCACCTTGTTTTGGCTTGTATTTCCGTGTGATGTAAATGCAAAGTTTGTGAAAAGGTGCACAGGCTTAAACTTACTATCAAGTAACTTCTTTTTGTCAGATGAACACACACAAAGTGTCTGTCGGAGGTTCTGTAGGACAGCTGTGTAACACACAGCCCTGCAAGCTTTTTAGCTCGCCCTGGTCCTGCAAACCAGAACCTCTTCTGCCTCTAGGCAGGGGTGGAGACCACTTAATGGAGACCAAAGAGAGGCTGAGGCACAGTTCATTGAGGCATCCCAGGTCAATATACATGCACATTAATGCAAGCACATTCACAACTAGACCAGGAGTTAATGTTATTGTTTTCAGATGTCCCAAACAACAACAGCGTAATGTGTGGTAGATTAAAGTGTGCAGACTTACCCTCCTTACTGAGTGACATGGCCTCTGCAGCTTTTTTGCCATTCTTGCTGCAGTCTCCTACATCAGTGCCTGAAACATCACACACACAAAAGAGGCAGATGTTTTCCAAAAGTTGTATAACTGGGTCATCAGCAAGACAAACCTAACAGCGCACATTCTGCACATAACACACTGGGTTACATAAAGGAACAATGTGCAGGTAAACTGCTTCCCTGCTGACCCTTCTCTTGATTTCGTTTTCAAACAGCAATCAGTAGCTTCAAATGTTTTGGGATGGAGGGAGACTTTATTTGAGTTCTGAACAAAGTAACACTTTGAGGGATGCCAGACAATGAATGAGCGTACACACTCCAAGATGGGTAGAGCAGGAGCCCCTTTAGGGCAGAAGTCAAACATACGATAGTTCCTGTCGCATACACACAATTAACAAGAGTTAAATTGAGGCTGGGGGCTGGCAATCACAGGAGAACACTGTTCAGAAGCGAAAGAACACAGAGTAACGTTAGCTCATATCAAATGCAGGGCCAGCGTTTACATCAGACCCCTCTTCCGTCACCGGTGTCTACTCTCAACCCTGCTGCTGCTAGCATTAGCAGGCTAACGCTAACTGCCTTGTCGCTAGTCTGGCTCGCTAGCTAGCTCTCCACGGGAAGAAGTTGTTCGCCCAACCATCTACTCTAGCCTCCTTCCGCTGTGATGCCACTGCTGCCCGGCTGCTTTCACTAACATGAAAAACCCAATAAAGGCTGGCAGCTTGTGTCATGGGCACCGCTTTAAAGCACACACTATAATGGCTCTATCTTAATAAGCATCACTTGTTTTTTCTTGAAGACAACGAATGCAGTGGGACCTGGAGAGCAACATGTTACCCACCCAGCGCTAGGACCCGGCAGGGTCTTTGTTTGGGTAACATGGTTAGCTCTGTGCTCCGTTTCAAACGAAAAATAAAGCCCGGTGCTTTGGTTACATGGCTCACTAGCTGCCAGTGTTTGCGTCGATGTTCTTCCTTACCCTCTGGCCGCTGTCACACACCGGCCCACTCGGCCCAGGCAGTCCAGCTTTGACCCACGAAATCATCGAGGCTAGGCACCCGCCGATCTAGAGCAGCCATTACTTTTACTGCGCGTTCACGCACCGCCATCATCACTGCGCGGCAAGCAATTTACGTCATATCTCGCGCTCTCGACATGATAGGAACTTCCTGCGTGCACGTTCACAGAGAGAGACAGAGTTTGTTTTATTTGACAAAGTTACATAATGACGTAATTAAATGTACACAAACATCAAGAGCGCAGCAAAAGGATAACATGTTTCTCTCAGTAGCATGGAGTGAGATATGGATGCTGTTTGTCCGACTAATCAATATCTGTATTAATGAATTGGCCACCATCCCAGAGACATCCACATCACCTGCCTCACTCGACAACAGATCCAATTCCTGCCCTTCAGAGGACCTGGTTCTGCTGTCTCCTGCAGAACCTTGACCTGCTGCAGCACTGGAAAGCACACAGGGCATTTTGTGAAATAAAAGGTCAATTTTACATTCCAATCTGGAATTTATAATAGAACCGATTCTTCGCGGTGGCACTGAGGTTTCTCTCTAAAAAATCAAACATAACAGGAAGTTTGGATAAGCCAACTTCATTATTCAAATATTGAAATCAAACAGATGTACTTTAAAATGTAAAGTGAATATAGACACAAAACAGCTTTTATAAGATACACAAATATCTGGGGAAATGTGACCACGGTAATAGACACATTAAAGGAGGATGCAGAATCTGAGCACAAACAAAGGTTATTATGGTCTTAAAACTATACAGGGTCCTTATATAGGCGATAGCATCAACATTAGTTACACATATAATTAAGTCATTTCACAGATACTCTGTCCTCTGAACTTGGAAGTTGCAGAAGATTCCCTTTGCTCACATTCTTCATGCTAAGGGTTTCTTCCAGTGATGTTCTGTGCGACTGTATGGAAATGTTTCTAACAATTCTTCCTTGTATGTCTATAACAGTCTAAAAAATAAAAAAGACCCCTCTACAATCAGAATGGCAGATTACATCACTACCACCAACTGCAGCCCTACATTAGCATAAAGATCTGACACTGACATAAATGTATGTGGCGTGAATAGAGATTTCTTCTGACTGCCAATGCCCCCGTCATAAATGTACAGGAGCTGCATCCTCCTCTGAGGACCTGGCTCTATTTAACAGCAGTGCAAGTGAACTTTAAATGCTCAAACACTGTGTAAACTTCTCCTGCTTCAGACAGAATGTTTACTGTTATTAATCATCATTGATCATTAATCATCATTGGCCTGATTGGCCCACTTAAATGTCTGCGTATATTTTCTGCACAGGACAAACACTATACATTAACTCAGTGGTTCTCAAAGTGGGGGGCGCGCCCCCCCCCCAGGGAGGCGCAGAGGCATGCCAGGGGGGGCGCGAGAGACCAGGAGGAAAAATGGTTAAAAAAAAAAAAGATTAAAAAAAAAAAAAATCATAATTTTAAAAGTTATTGATTCGAAAATAATATGATGCAGTACAGTATTATTACGTGTTGAGAGATGTATCCATAGATCTCTTAATTTTGCTCTCAAAGTGCACCAGATTGATGCATTTAACTTCAATATTTAAAAATGAAATCTTCCCGGGGGAGCTTGCCCCCTATGTGAGGTCCACACACCACCTATAAAAATAGCACTTTACCCCTGCTAAGCTGATTATCGAGCCTTCATTGTAACAGTCGCGGGTACACTGTGTATATGCGTGGGGAATGTTGCAGTAGAAAATTCCACTGTAGCGACCGGTACATTAATGAGAAACCCTAAATGTTTGAGCACCCTCTATGAAACGTCAAGCTACCTGAGCTACTGAGCCTGACTATTTGTGTTGGGGGGGCCCGACTTTTTTTTTTCTCCAAAGGGGGGGCCTGACAGAAAAAGTTTGAGAACCACTGCGTTAACTGTTGGAGAAAACAAAACGGAGAGCATCTTTTTAAAGGTCCCAGTCATTTCCACTGATCATAATTCCATTGTTGAGGTCTATACTAGAATAGTTGGTTTGTCGAGCATCTCTGTATAGTAGCCTATGTGTATTCACTCTCTGTCCTAAACGGCTTGTTGGAGCTCCTTGTTTTAATGTTCTCCCTGTCTCATCACTGATGTAAGGAACCGTTTGATCAAGATCAGATATCAAAGAGGCTGGAAAGACATTTATATCGATGACTGCATATCGTGGTGGAGGGACATCCATATAATGTTAACAGAAATAGGAAATAAAATGACCCAGCTGAAAACAATACAGATGGGATTGCATACAGACTATAATCTCTTAAAATGCTAAACAATTGAATACATTAAACTGTAACTGGAAACCTTTGGAGCATCCTAAGTTACGGTCTTTAGTTCTTAACCCACCATTTATTTTTTCAAGTGTTTTATAGTTGAACTGCAGTCGATAGATCACATGCTGTACAAACTCTGTCCCCTCCTCTCAGGTTGATTGAGTTTGGTTAGGGTTAGGGTAACCAATGCACTGGTCAAAGTATCAGTGGTGGAAGGTTACTGCAGATTTACTCAAAAACTGCACTCAACGGAGGTTCTTCTTCTTTACCTTAGTACGCCTATATCAAGTTTGGTTCTTTAAGCCTTTCGCGGCCCGGCAGTGACACCTCCGCGGCCCGGTACCGGTCCGCGGAGGTGTTACTGCCGGGCTGCGAAATAGCTGTGAGCTTATCGTAATATTTGCAGAATTATAAATATATAAAAATATTTTATCATATTTTTTTCAAAAAGTGTTTAATTTTCACACCTATACCAGTCATATTATTTAATCAAGTAGCCTAGTTAATCTTTCACCAGAAAACCGTTGAAAATGGCTTTTATGATGTTCCGAGGGATTCGGCGGCTCAGGGTCTCAGCCTCTCGTGCACACGAGAAAGTTACCGGTGCGCCAAGTAGGAAGAGGAGCGCACAGGAGACAACTGTTTGATTGCAGACTGTTGTGTTTATGTGGGGAAATGGCAGTGCATACATTATTTGAGATATATTTCAAACTCAGACTTCATTTTAAGGATATGTCGGCCAGGGGTGTAGAGCTATTTGTTTAAGCACCGGATTGGCAAAACAGGAGGGCCGAGGCTATATACAGGACGGTCCTGTACACAACGCCAAATGGCTATATACAGGACCGTCCTGTACAGCTCTCTGAAATGGCTATATACAGGACGGTCCTGCACAGAAGCCCTGAAATGGCTATATACAGGACAGTCCTGTATATAAGGTCTCTGAAATGGCTATATACAGGACCGTCCTGTAAACAGCTCTCTGAAATGGCTATATACAGGACGGTCCTGTGGATAAGATATCTGAAATGGCTATATACAGGACCGTCCTGCAGCTAACGTCAAATGACTATATACAGACCGGGCTATTATAGCATGCTTAAGCAAGTTTCGCGGGTGGTAATGTAGGGATAGGATTCACAGATAAATATTCTCACGACAACATTATTTTCAATGAGTTTCCCCTCAATATAAAATTGTGGCAATTAAATCTCTTTCCATGCCAATTGCTTAGCTTTTTATGCTGATTTCAGTCTTTTTTTTGGCTTATCTTTTTATGTTGTTTCAATCATTTTCTACTTTATATTTTCCAATGCACAATGTTTTACTTGTAAAGGATATCACTGCATACTTTAAAGACTACTCGGTTTTATTAAAACTGAAGGTTTTTTTTTAAAGAATACGCCGACATTTCGTTGACGTGTGATTTTGCATTGAAAGCAACACAAATCATTTATCGGCTACGCCGGCATTTTTATTTTAGAAATCGGAGAAACCGTATTTTGAATTGTATGTAGTATGCTGTACATTTTTGTAATTTATCCTGCTGTAAACGTTAATTGTACACCAATTATATCCATATTTCTGTAGACTACATAAAAAGCGACTCGATTTTTCTGCCGATAAAGACGTGAAAATCCCATGAAATGTCAGGTTTCATTTCTAAAATTGGTGAAGGTCACCCTCTGGTTTCAAACTAGGGCTGCAACAAACGACTAATTTGATAATCGATTAATCTATCGATTAATGAAACGATTAATCGATTATTCGGATCGTTAAGGTTTTAACTGTACTACTACTTATATCGATACTGCTTATCGATCCGGTCCTTTTAACGATAGTATTAACGGTTATTTTGACAAGAAATAAGGTAAACTAACTAAACAAATTGTGAACAAAACTAACATTGCTTTTTATTTTTAATTAAATGCATAATATTTCACATCAAAAGAAACAACAATGTTTTAACAAATCATATTAAATAATGTGATGACAGAACTGTAAACAGAATAGCTGAAACTTTAACAAAATAAATAACTCAGTTACCTCTAATCATTAACCCATGTTTGTATAACTGAGTTAACTCTGTGTATTGCTGCTAGCATCAACACATCCTCACTCCCAGGTCGGCCTATGTTGACGTTATGTCAAGTCCCCTGTCGGCTTTTTCCAACGCAAGGGGGGGGGCCTTAGCGTCCATTTTCAACGCAAGGGGGGGCCCTTAGCGTCCATTTTCAGCTTTCCGGGATGTCCATATGCTTCTATGGACGCTCATGGAAGCACGGCGTTCGTTTGTGTCGACTGCCCTTAAAGGCAATGTGAGCGTCCATTCTCATTGGATAACGGAGAATTGTACACCCGGAAGTAAGTATTCCCCTTACTGTCGATTGATTTTACAGTGATATCTGCACTACTCATCGACTAAAAAACACCAGATTATCCTTGTTAATTACACAACATTGATTGGTTTAAATTGTGTGCAATGCTTTTGTATTTTTCCCCTTCGATTCGGAGAAACAAATGTTTTTTCGGAGTAAAGGATGGCAGAAGACACTACACTACCCAGAATCCCCAGCTATCGTTTGGACTACACCATGTGCTCTGTTTGACAAACCCCGTGATAGTCCTCAAGCTCTGTGATTGGAGAGTGTGCTCCGAGGGTTACGCCGAGCCTCGAACAGCACTTGAAATGGGATGGAATCACGGCAGACTGTCCAAA